GACATGTTCAACATCGATACTGAAAATCGCAAGCAGAATCGGACCAAGTGAATGAGGCATAACAAGTCGTTGATGGTCACTGGTAACAGCGATCAACATCTCCTTGTATCCACTGTTTACATCGAGCCTGCTTACCAATTTTAAAACTTAAGTATTTTGAGGCCTGCACTCACTTCTTATCGCAAGTACCGGGCCAACATTTGGTCCACGGGCCGGTGTCGTCTAAAAGAGCAGACGACGAGCAGAAGCGTTCGAAAGAGCAGACGACAGTTCGAGCGATCAGGCAGCCGTTCGATCTTGAAGACGCACTGAACGTCCGCATGCAGGCAGTCCCAACAACTTGGCGGTATTCCCGCTTTCATGACGGAACAAAACAAATAAATCTGATGACAACAAGTATCCGTGAATTTAACCCAAACTGCTTCCCGCCCAAGCAATCGTGGTCCGACGGCGACTGGTTTTCCATTTTCACGGCACATATCCACGTTCTCGGACGAACCGAGCACATGAAAACTGATCTTCAAACCTTTCTCGACTCTTTTGGTACAGACCCAGTCGCGGCGTTTTGACGAGAAGGCAAGTTTTTGTCAGGTTTTTTTTAATACAACCTTAGAATACACGTCTCACATAGGGACTTCCGCCTTCAGCCCCAGACAGGAAGTGCGCCCGACGCGCGACCATCGCGCCGTGACGTGACAGAGATGAGTTCGTTGGTTCGTGTATAGCCAGAACATAATTTCGGCGATATATTCGCCTATACATGAACTCATGTCTGTTACGTCACGGCGCGGTGGTGGCGCGTCGGGCGTAACGGAGATGCTCCTCAATACAAAAACCAAAAGGCTCCTTAAAACCAAAACCGACAGACTCCACACGTAACCCGTAACAAAGAAGAACAGGTCATAATGAGTCGACAAAGGACTTAAAAGGAAAAACCCGAACAGCGAACTTTTCCCTACACCTGGCAAGGTCAAACTTTGTACCTACAGGTTGCCTCAAGCTTGAAACACAAAAGCTTACCCCAAGCTTGAAACACAAAAGCACTAATCACAAACGAGCGTGTTGGGGACGAATTAAGTAAGTGCGTATACTTCCTTTACACGTCTAAGAAACTAGGGAGTTTTGTGTGTTGTTCCAATAATTCCTGTAAGAATACCCGATACTCCTCTGTCGTCTTTGTGCATGCATAGTATCGTTATTGGGTATCGTTACCGAGCACAAAAACCGTCTACAAGAACTCCCTACCGTTTATCGTTTTTCTAGTGAAATTAAAGACGACGTTAGCAAGGAGAAGCAAGCTAACTAACCTCGAAGGGAAGGGAAACAGAGGTCGTCTTCGCTCCCTCAGCTCCCCTTGATAACCGGTGATTTCTTCAAGCAGACAGAGCCAGTGAGGACGCCTTCAGCGAGCATCAAACATAGTCTTTGAGATGAATAGAGGCAGGTTCTTAATTTTGTTTTTGTTACAAAAGAAGGGTCATTTTGAAACAAGGTCTGGTAGGAAATGCAAGATGGGAGGACGGGTAAACAGCTCGTCCACACTTCTATAGACGGGGAACACAGCCTGTCAGAAAAACTGGACATCGCCGGCTCATCTGACAAAAAGGTGCAATGCCTTGCTCTAAAGAGCGTGGGTAAGTAAAAGCTCTTTGAGTGAACCGACGATACGTGCCCCAGAACAGCACAGCGACGTGCATGAAAAAAGTTTAAAGGAACGCGGCAAGCCCGGTTCAATAGTTTTCCATGTTTTAAAAATAAGAGGCTTATTCAGCTCTTTGCGCACCTCGTGTGTTTGTTTACCCCTCAGACGCTCTGACGTACCGCTATTTACACCTCGTTTTGACCAATGACGGCGCGCGCTTTTCTGTCTCGTCTTCGCGCGTTCTGTGCGCGCCCTTTATGTTTCCCGCTGATTGTTGTGATATTCTTCGTATTTACTTCTTTTCAATGGGTTACAATAACGTTCGCAAGCGCGGAAGACACGTGTTGGTACCCCTACTTGCACGTCGTATAAACGCTTACTTCGAATTTGACTTCGACCTCGACCGCGCACCTTGTTTTTCATTGGTAGCCTGCTTGCAACAGAAGGATGACGGTGATGACAACGCAATCACGGTTTGCTAGTGGTCCTGTGTGATGGGCTCTCACTTCCGATCGAAGTGAGAGCCATTCGTATCGCTCCGACGCTGTTGAAAAAACTCAGCAGACCTTTGAATGAGTCACTTGCTCAGGAAAATAACGAGGAGACAAATGTCTAAGCGCTTATGTAAGAGTGGTCTCGATTTCAAATGAAAAGCACTTTAGCAAAATGTGGCCGATATGGTTCGTATGCAAAACTAGCTAGCATAAAAAAATAGATAAATTCAGAAATGGGGACGGACTATCTGTCTCCCCCCTTGGAAAAGATTTATGTGATTTTATCAAGAATCTTTGAACACTCGTACTCCGCCTTCGCGTTCGAAGCGCTGTTCACGGAGTAAGGCTAGGCTGCTTAGTGGATTGAGTTTCGCCACGTGTTCGTCGCATATTTTCTGATGGGGTCCGGCTTTTACAGACAAGTATCGTGCCAGTAGCTGACTTTTGCTCAAATAAACAGAAACAAAAACCTCTTTAGTCAATATTCACGTTCAACGGAGATCGAAGAACTCTGTTCGTATTCCTAGAATTCAAGAACTCAGGCATATGCACGACTGTGATGAAACCTATTATCGGCAACAGCAAGCGAAGCCCCCCACCTAAACGCCTGAGAGCACGTAAAATTCTCTATGCCTGTTACTGCAACGGACACGACCGCGCGCTTGTTAGGAAACGTGGGCGACAAACCGTGATGCCAATCGGCTGCTTCCTCACATTTTTAAAATTATCATAATTCTCTGGCATATGGATAAAGCCCGTAAACTTCCGTGATTTTTCTAGATTAGAGTCAAGCCTTCCCGAGATCTTAGATGCTAAATAGCGTTTGAAAAAATCCGGAAGCGGCCGAAACAGATCAAATCCGGCGCACGCTTTTTCGTGTGGACGGATAAAAACGAGCGTATGCCGCATATTACCAGCATCAGAATATCTGTAAGCATTATTAAGCGAGAGCGAGAAAACACCAGTACTCGCGTAAAAGCTCCGGGAAGACGGTTTTATTTGTGTTTCCTTGAGGGGTGCGCGCACGCACGCGCTTACAAAAGACAAAAACATGGGCGCACGGACGCACGCAGATGCAATCAACGCGAAGAGAAACCCTCCCGTGGCAGAATAGCACAGTGGCAAAACGACACCTTCCCCGGCCCCCCACACACAATGACACACACAGACACACACACCGAAAGGAGGAGCCGCCAAGCCGCGCCGCGTAAACGGAACACCACGGCCATGCAGGAGGCTCAAACGTCTGCCGCGCACAGACAAAGCCCCCCTAACGTTCACTAAGCTGCACGTGTACTACGCGACGCGGGTACGCACGCCCGCAGTATCGGGGCAGAAGAGCGGAGGCCCGCCAAACTCGTTGGAGTCGCCGCTGAGTCTGTGCCGGTCCAAACATCCCCCCCCCCTCCCCCCCAATCCCCATCTGGGAAGCGCTGGTGCCGCTTCGTCTGCAATACACAGTCCCCTCCCCATTTCCGATTTCACGCTTAAGCCGCGCACAGTCGCACACGCAAAATGTCACATCCTCTCTCAAAGTCCTCCAAAGCAAACGCCCCTGCAGTTGCTTCTCCCAAACGTTACCAGACCACCCCTACGAATCTCGTTCTGGCCTCTAACAGAAGTTCCTTCCAAGTTTCTGCTCCGTCTACACTCTATACTAACCGCCACAGCATGTTTGTGCGTGTAAGGGCACCAACATGCTGCAGACACTACCAAATGTCAAGTCGGCTATCAGTCGCCAAGAGTACGCACACACAAGCAAATCCATACCAACATCTCCTGAGTCCTGACTCCTAGTTCACGAACTCAGTCCCCATCACATCACAAATTCAGTTCACGAATTCATTCACCATCACATCACGTATACACCAGAGTCACGAAGTCCTTCACCATTGCATCACGGGTGCGTCAGAGTTCACGAGGTCACTCCCCGTCACATCGCGGCTCCTTCCGAGTTCATGAAGTCACTCCCCTTCGCATCACGACTCGTTCCGCGTTCACGAAGTCACATCCACTTCACATCACGGCTTCTTCCGAGTTCACGGAGTCACGCCTGTTCACATCACGACTCCTTCCGCGTTCACGAAGTCACATCCCCTTCACATCACGAGTTCTTTCGCGTTCACGGAGTCACGCCCATTCACATCATGACTCCTTCCGCATTCACGAAGTCACATCCCCTTCACATCACGACTTGGTCCGAGTTCACGAAGTCATTTACAGCCCTTCACCATGACGCGGTGAGCGTGAGTGAGTGTGAGTGAGCAAGTTCGTGAGTGACTTTGCCGAGGTATGCTCCAGACAGGACTTGACTTGCTTCTGCACACTTGGTTGTGTCCGGTTAAACAAGGTTAATAGATTCTTTCAGTCTACGAAGCGACGAAACATGGAGTGGGTACGAGCAGTTTTGATAGGTTAAAGTATAATTCAAAGCCACTTTATAGTGCTCCAGCGTGCATGGCATTTTAATTGGCGAAATCACAACAGCGTGACAACAGCTTTGCAGGACAAGTCTCTATCGGGGCCACGTTTCTGGCGCAACAATGCATTCTAATCAGCCAGCCCTTTTTGTTTTTGTTTGACCGTCCCTCGGGTCTCGGTTCCTTCTCTTTATCTACGCCTTCGAGGACACCTCGTAATCTCTCGCCGGCTTCCTTTATTCCGAGCGTCACTCAAGGATGCGGGATCGACAATCGGTTAGGGCCTTTCCACGGCGGGGCAGGGCACAGGACAGCTTATCAGTTCCGCATTGTGCCGGCTACCGGGCACCTCTGGCAGCCTGCCCACGGGACGGCGGAGAGGGCAGTGGCCCCTCTCCTCTTCTCTCAGCTGACGCGGGACTTTTCTCTCTTGGCTGGGAGCAGGTGTGAAGCACCCCAATATCATCTGCGACGCATGCCGCAAGCAGGGGATCAGTGGGACGCGCTGGAAGTGTGCCCGCTGCTACGACTTCGACCTGTGCACCCAGTGCTACATGGCGGACAAGCATGACCTGACGCATCCCTTTGTGCGCTTCGACACCACCGCTTCCACCGGGTGACTGGATGTTTCACTTCTCTGCATGCGCGCCCTTAATCCCTCATTGGAAGGCTGTAGCTAGGTCTCAAAGCGCGAAGAAACGGCAACCTTGTTTTCACCTTTGGCTTTCATGGAATAGGCTAACCGACTGCTCAGAAAAGAAATTTTGTACCTGAAGGCAAACTACATATTGCGTGAGAAGACAGCCATTCAATATGAGCACCATTTGATTTATCCTTTTGTCTTGAGGCGTAAAAGAGCCACTTTGTTCCTCTCCGTAATGCACTTTGCTTCTTTCATACCGATATGTCTTTTTATCAAAATTATTAAACTCCGTTAGGTATTTTGTCGTTTGGTATGATAGCATTTTTGGTGATAGAAGGAACAATCTTAATTATTTTAGAAAATTAAAAAAATAAAAGATGTTTACAAATCTCTGTAATGCCGAATTAGAGTGCGGCTCTTGAGGAAGAGGAAGGAAGGGTATGCCGTTCCTCTCCCCTCCCCTACCATTTAGCGGGAAATTTTCCGCTAAATTTAAAGGGTGAAATTTTTCCGCTAGATGTAGCGGAGAATTTTTACCGCTAAATCTAGCGGGGAAATTTATTTGAAAAATTTAACGGGGATTTTTTCCACTAAATAAGCGGGGAAAATTTTCTGCTTAATTTAGCGGTGAAATTTTCTGCTACATTTAGCAGAAAATTTTCCCGCTTAAATTTTTTCATTAAATTTAGCAGGGAATTTTTTTTCTGCTATATTTAGTGGGGAATATTTTTCGCTAGATATAGCGGTGGAAATTTTTCAGCTAAATTTAGCAGGGAAATCTTCCCGCTCAATTTAGCAGGGAAAATGTTCTGCTAAATTTAGCGGGGAAATTTCCCCACTAAATATAGCAGGTAATGTTTTCCTCTAAATTTAGCGGGGACACTTTCCCGCTAAATTTAGCAGGAAAATTTTCCAATGCGACGCGCGGCTACGCCCGCTTGCATTATTCCCAAAATGCAATGCGCGCAATTACGCCGACTGCGATGGCAACACCGCACAAGCCGGAAACGGACGCCTCGGAGCTGTGCTCTAAAACAATATTGATCCTACAAGCGGTACTCTACGTGCCTGTGCCTGGCCACGACAGCTACTGCTGCGTCTTTGAACTTCTCCTACAACTTTAGTCGTGGTGAAAGATCAGGATTTCACCGTCAAATGATCATAGGTCGTGTTGTTTCAAAAGAGTTTGAGAACAAATTAAATCTTGGTCATCGGTGTGAAATGACAGCCTCCAAGACTTGGCAAACATTCCCGGTGATACGATTGCTGTGCCGTTTATGCCAAGCTGCGCCAAAGTGCTTACCCTGCTACATCCTGCTACGTTTTGCCAGAATGTGAGAACTTTGCGCCAAAACTTAATTTTATTTGAATAATACTGAAAATATAAAAGCTACTACCTTGCTACTTGGCTGGATCGTTACAATATGCTTAAGCGAGATTTCGTAACTTTTGGTTATCGCCTCAAATAACATACTATTTGATTGCATTTCGTATAAAAGACTGACAGTACTTGGAAGTTATTCAATAATTCTCATGATTGTTGTCCGTTCTGGAGGGTTTGTTAGTTTCGTTGAGTGTACTTCTCACCGCGCACTGGTGTACAGCAGGGAAGCGACAACCCTGGAGTGGGCATTGCAATTTTGGATGTCTTGCTTTGCTGCATAACACCTGAACGCTAAGGGGAAAGCGCTCCTCCAGAGCAAGAGGTGACAATTTCTGAATACAACTTTCCGCTTGTATATAGGATAAACTGCGGTGTCTGGGCAGTAACTTTTTCCAGTTTGACTAACAGACATTGTCCAACTAACAGACATTGTCTGTTAGTTGGACAGGTCGACACATTAGTTTTAGCTAATATTTAGGGTGGTATGAATGAAAATGAAGTGTACGGTCATGCTCCGAAAAGGCCTTTTGCTGCTCCAAAATTGACATTTGGCTGCTCTGAGAGTTGCTTCAAAACGACTTAGACCAATCACGTCACTGCATTTCTGTACAATTTTTTGTGCTGCATATGGACATTAACCCCAGCCTTAAAAGGTGCCCAGTCATAGCATGTTACAGAATTGGAGAGTAAAAACAGACTGAGGTGAGGAACTAAGAAATAAATCTTTCATAAGCCAAACTTGTGACCACACACACAAAAAAAAAAAAAAAAAAAGGGTACCTTGTTTCTGTGACAGCGTCTTGGCCTTTGTAGCCCCTAGGTGCTCAGGACATTTCCATCTTTATACTTCCGTAGAATTTTGCAGGATATATATAGAGCAATACACTCACGAATTGACTACTCGTTACATAAAATGATTAATCTCTGACTAGGTTTGAGTCTCCCTCAGTGATGTTCAAGGCGAGTGCATATCCTGAAGGAACAATGTCCTCAAATGTCCTTCAAAGTAAGGATACCTTAGCCATCTTGGTGCCTGAAATCATTGTGGCCAGCAATCTCAAGCTTACAATCTGAAATAGGAGGACAGTTTTCTGTCCTCCAGGGGCTCTAATCTGAACACTTGGTGAAAAAGTTGGCGACAAAGTTGGCGACAACTCCCCGTGCCGTGGTTGGCCAGCTCTGTGCTTTACCTTGGCGCCGGCCAAGTGCGGCGCTCGATTCTTTCCCCTACGTTTTCGCCAAGGGTAATTCTAGTTGTATTCCTATCTCACATAGTCCAAAAGCTCAAATATTGCGCAGAATTAAATTAAACAACTGAATGCGGGGGGAAGGCTAGGATCGCTAATGACGAAGGCTAGTTTAGTGCCCACTTCTGTATGCATATTTGGTGCATGTTTGTGTTGGCGTGTAAGGAAACTGACACCTCTCTTCCACTCTTTGCTCCCAGGGTGGAAATGCCTAAGAGGCAGGGAGCCGTCAAGATTGCGGCGCGGGGCATCTTTGTCGGAGCCAAGGTGGTGCGAGGTCCAGACTGGGACTGGGGCGCCCAGGACGGTGAGTGGGCCGAGGCCCCTCCAGTCTCGAGCGGCCCGTGCAGCTTCCTCGTGTGCAGTATTTTATGCTCATAGTTGTACGTTAAATATGTAGGCATTGTGCTTCAACAAATTAATTTTTCCCGTTTAGAGTCCCCGACCGACCTTTCGGACTTAGTGGGGATTCTGTAAATGTCAGAATAATTGAACGTCCGAAAAAGCAAGTTCATCCAGAATGCATAAAATTCCCGCGCAACTTACGTTTGATAGCGGCGCAGCCACTTTTCACTCATTTGAAGATCACTTTTTTTTTTTTTAGGGGCAAAGTTCCTTAGAGGCTAGCCATGTCCGTATGTCCGTCCGCCGTCGGGTGCACGTGCTCCTGCTCGTGAGCTCACGCGCTCATGAGCACGTGAGGACGTGCTCCTGTGCTTGTGTAAAGTAAAAAAAAAAAAAACTAAAAAAAATCTCCACGTGGTGCATGATGTTGATTGGGGCGAAGCTCTGGTAGTGTTTGTCTGCTTAGACGGTGAGCCGCAGCATGCCGAGCCTTTCGTTCGTTTTCATCCATGTCAGAAAGAAAATGTGTGGTATGGAACGTGGTTACATACGCATTTGAGCATTTGACCGCAGCATGACATGAATGAAAACGAACGAAAGGCTCGGCATGCTGTGGCTCAGCGTCTACGCAGACAAGCACCACCGGAGCTTCGTCCCAATCAACATCATTCACCACGTGGAGATGCGGTTTTTCTTCATTGTCAGCGTGCCGTGTTTGCTACACTTGTCGGAGCCCTCGTCAGCTCATGCGGCGAAGGTACAGTTGCGGCCAGTTGATATCACCTGGAGACAATGTGCAGCTGACCACGATCACTTCACTACTAGGCCTTGGCGAAACCGGGACGTCTGACTACGCGGATTGCAAGTTCGGCTGCTTCTTTTCGGAGGGGTCATGGTGACGTCAAAACGCCGAGCTCAGATTGGCTCTGATTGAAGGTAGTGGGTAGACCTCAAAGCAGGCTGCCTTGGGGTCTACACACTGTTTTGAGGTCTACTTACTATCCTTCAATCAGTGCCAATCAGAAAAGCGCAAAAAAAAAGCGGACGAACTTGTGCTTCACATAGCCGCAATCCAGTTTTTGTTTTACTGCATATAATACGGTGTCGATTGCGCAAGCTAAAACCAAGATGGTGGCACCTCAGTTCAGGGCAGCAGTCTTGGGTGTAAAAACAACGCTAGCCATGCGAACTAAGTTTAGAAAAATCGAGCCATGAGTTGAATGCCATCCAAAATTTCAACTGCTGTTATACATCAATTTCATGGGGTGAGCCCCATGAAGACGTCCCAATTTTGGAGCACGTTCGAGCTTTCTATGTCAGAAAAATGTGTCGGTGGTTGTACATGGTTTGAGTGGTTCGAGTTGGTGAGTTTGAGCTTCTGCCAATGAGTTTAAGTTAGTGAATTCGAGCCAGTGAGGTCGATATTGAGTCAGTGATTGAGTCTGAGTCAAAGAGTGAGTTCAAGTCAGTGAGCTTGAGATTGAGTCAATGAGTGAGTCTGACTGTTTATGTCAATGACAGTGATGGAAGGGCTGTACTATTTGTGCCAAATTGTTGATAAAAAGAGCGGCAAACTTTGACTTCATCCTGGTTCCAACGCCGCTAAAGAGCAGTGTCACTTTTAAAGCGCGAGTGTAGGTCTGCTACATCTTGAAGAACGAAAGTGACGTTTTGCTAAGAATTGCACCACACTGCATTGAGATAAGCTGAAGCACAACAAAGAACAAAGGTAATTTATTTTTGGTTGACTTTAACATTTAGAAAAGTAGGAGGAAAGGAAAAATGGTACAAATGTGTGTTTCACAGCATTCTTTCCTTGTTTCATCTTAGATCAGAGCACAATGGAAGGCTCATACACGAACACACATACTAAAAGCGCAAGTCTTGGGGTATTCGCTGCACTTGAATGATTTAGTCTACGAAAGAACACGTACGGGAAGATGGACGAATGCCATGATGTCGCGCTTTGACGTTGTTTGGTTGGTTCCATTGGCTCGTAGCGTCGGCTGCGCTTTAAATTAAAGTGAAACAAGGTTTTGAGATTGCTCATCAACTGCGCTGGTCGGTTGATGTGCTGGTGGGTTGATCGCCGACACTTCTAAATTTCTAGCCGATTTCGGCGATGACAGAAGCTAAAAGTTGTGAGAAAATATAATAGAACGGCGACTACTGTTGTTAAGCAGGACCAGGGTCTTGTACTCCTGATAAGGTCAGTCGATTATCATGAGCATTTTGAAGCAACTGGATACTAAAGAAATATGAAAGTTGACACCAAGGGAAGAGGGGAATGTCCAGACACGGCTCAAATTTTATTGCGGACAGAACCCTCTATATAAGGGTTCAACAAACTGAAAGAAGGGAAAGACCATTCCCCACGCACACAACTCTCGTTTGGCATGAAGGAATGAAACGACATGGGACCCTCCACAATGGGGTCATTTTGGAGGACTGTAACATAGATAACACTGGGAGCCCCCTTCCTTCGTGCCGCCCTTCACCAGCCCACGCGCGTCGAGCTTTACCACTTTGCACCGGGGTGCTAGAAGCAGCGGCTGGCATGGGTGAGCGCTTGGGTTAGCACAATAGGCTCGGAAATTAGGCTCGTTACATTTACAGGTCTACCTTCTTTGGTCTTGATTGTAGGTTGATATCCAATTGTAAAGAGCTGTGCCAAGAATGAAAGAAAAAACACGGGTCTGCATTTGGGTAAATACTTTAGTCAGGGTTGTTCCCGCACTGTTGTTGATCGAAAGAGCGGCAAACTTAGACTTCATCCTGGTTCCAATGCTGCCAAAGAGCAGTTTCACTTTTAAAGCGCAAGTCTAGGTTTTTATAATATTCGTAGCTGGTTGTTTTTTTCAGTTTATCATAACAGAGTCTCGAGTTTGGTAGGTTCATAAAACTTGGTTGACACATTTTTCTTGATAGACACATGTTAGTGGATATGCTGGTTTGTGCAGGCATTTTACAGAAATTATATTTACAGGCTAAATAAAGTACTGGGTGTAAAATAGGGAGGGAAGAGAGGCTCTATCTCATCTGAAGTGTTCTACTGTGATTCATTTTTCAATTATTCTTAGCACTCATTGTAAATGGAACCTACCCAGACCAGAGCCTCATTTCTGAAAAAAAGAAAGGCTCAGTTTTCCTTTTGCACCCCATCTATTCTTATCACGAAAGGTAATAAAGTAATGTGCTGCAGTATCAAAAAGGAACCCTCACTCATTATCAAAGGTAAATTCATTTAGCGATGCAATTACTTTTTTTTATTTTCAAGGGATGTTCTAATAGACGTAGACATCTTCTTCAAAAGTGTCAGTGGCTGCTCCAAAGCAATATTTTGACTGCTACAGAACCTGCTACAAAAGGTGAAATGCCATTTTCATCACTGCAATGAGTGAGTTTGAGTGAATGATTGAGTCTTTGTCAGAGCGAGTGAGTTTGAGTCTGTGAGGTCGAGCGAAGAAAGTGCGCACACTGTGAGCATAGCTCTCTCGGGCGACTGTTGTGTCCTCTGTGCAGGAGGGGAGGGCAAGACAGGCAAAGTGATGGACATCCGTGGCTGGGAGACAGAGTCCGGACGCAGCGTGGCCAGTGTCACCTGGTCGTCCGGCTCCACCAACGTCTACCGACTGGGGCACAAAGGAAAAGTGGACCTCAAGTACATCCAGGACGCGCCGGGAGGCTTCTTCTACAGGGACCACCTGCCCATCCTCGGTGAGACTCGTTGAGGGTGACCGAAACGTTTGGTCATTTGCCGGCTCCTGGTGGTGCTTCTTGGGTTTCGTGCAGTTGGACCCCTACGACACAGGTCGGCTTTGTGCTGCCATCTTTATGACGTCGTTGCATTCCCAAGAAGAATGATGAAAACACCACTAAAGCTAGCTCAAGTTTTATGTCCTCATGTCCCTACTCTACTTGTACTGCCGTTGGCTTTGTTTGCCACATGCGGGCAAAAAGAGGGTGCTGTCGGTTTGTAATCAAATGATTAAATGTGCAGAGTTTGGTGAGAAAAACATACATAATACATTGTGTTTCGTTTTACTTTCGTCATCGTGTCCAGACTCTACGATTATTGCTGTTGGCTTCGTTAGCAACATGCGGGCGAAGGAGGGTGCTGTCAGGTTGTAATTAAATGATTAAGTGTGCAGAGTTTGGTGAGAAAAATATACATAATATGTTGTTTCACTTCGTATTTCGTTTTACTTTCATTTGAGTGGCTCTATTATAAAAATATGTTCCTCTTGGCAAGGAAGGGCAGTTTTCTTATATTCCTTGTACTTGTCGAGCAGTGTATATTGCTTTGTTCTATGAACCTATAAACTTTTTTTTTGTATTTCAAAGCAGCTTTTCATCTGTCAAATTTTCAGTTCACCTTGTACTGAGAATTGATATGTTAATATGAAATCAGCCAATGCCACTCATAAAGAAAGTTTCTGAACATGCTTGTCACTTGTTCACTCTATACAAATGTAGGTGGGGTTATAAAATTGTTGCACTTGCACAACTCAAACATTTCCTCTGGAGCGTAAAGTAACATAGGGATGCGAACAGAAGCTTATTTTTGGACAGAGGACTTTACCCTATGCTAAGGCGATTTCGGGAAATACATACTAAAGAAACCAAGGGAAGGAAAAGCATGCAAGAATAATTATGAGTGCCGGGGGAAGGCATGGTTCTACTGCAACTTTGTGATTGAGAATAGAAGGGAAGATAGTCTCAGGAAAACCAGTGCTATCTTGCATCCTGGATGAATTCAAAGTGCACGCTTTAACTGCACAGTTCACATGTTTCTCTACGTGCTTTGGCCCAGTACCAAAATTTGGTAAAAGCAGAGGCAATTGGTCACACATGAGCTCAGATTAATTTGGGATATTTTCAGAGTAGCGCTTTTCCCCACCTTGCTGCCTTCTGTGCTTCCCTAGGAACGTGCACGCAGCTGCAACACGCCCTTCATAGAGGTGGAGGCACAGTAAAATACGAAAGCTGACATCCGTCCTCAAACGTTTCTCCCTCTTGCACGTGTATTGCGCCAGAAACCCAAGCCACCACAGCTTGTCGGCGTTACTTCCTGGTTCGTAGGAGCTGCGATAGTTTGCCTCGAGGTGCTCGTGTTGAGCGGTGAAGCCAACTTAGTGTGCTGCCTCTGCTCTCCCTGACTCTCCGTGCCAACGGCCGTTGTACAGATAACATGGTGCATAGGAGTTTGTTTTGTCAGTGTATGCGTGTGGCAGTTCCTTCTTTATATGTATATGTCGTTCTGCATTAGTGCCATGGTGTACTAGACTTTTGCTTTTTTTTCCTTTCACTATTTGCAAGGTATGTAAGCTGGCTACTTTAATTGTTTTGTTTTTACCTGTTCGTTTAGATTAGTATCAAGAGATAGTCCAAGAAGGGCGTTGAAATGATTCATTTATGTTTTTATCTTTCTTTATGTTGATGTGCTGACTTTGGGGACTTAAAAGAGAAGAAAGTGCTTTTGAATGCATGTCCTTCTGCATTGATCATTTATGTGCCTCCTCTTCTAAAGCTAGGCGAGATATCTTGCTCGTTTTATGCCTGATGTACTAAAATTATATACTATTTATTTGTTGCACAGCTTAATGTTAAACATTTGTAAAACTTTATTATTATACTTTCGATAGTTCTTTTTTTTTTCTGGGAATTGGAGTTTCTTTTTTTAGGAAATTGCCCTCATAAAAAGTTTTATTTTTTCTGAGGGCAGAGAACTTTCCACACTGGAAAAGCTAATGTAAAGGAACCTCACAGCATGTCTCATAGCGTTCAAGCCTAGTTTGCTGCAGTATAAAGATGCTGTATTTAGCTCACTAATTAATGCATTCTATTGGTAGCTAATTAACCAGCTAAAAATGCATGCCTTTTGCTTGATCTTTAAAAAAAAATGCCATGCTTGCATAAAGACTGTGAGTTTCAATTCTTACTTCCTCTGAGTTAAAACCTCCTTGGGGGGATATGGCCTGGGAGGGTCAACTTTTGAACCATTTCCTCAAATTGATTAAAACTTTTAGGATGAATTGAATGCCATTAGGATTGATGACATCTAATGTTTGAGTCTTGTAGGCCAATTCTACAACATACTACGCTTAACAAGTTCCAGAAAAAAGTTACTTTATTAGGAAATGTTTTAAAAAAAAATAATTGCAATCCACAAAATATTTAATTTAATTTGAGGTATATTACCCATAGTGCAAGTTAAGGTAAAAATTAATTGTAAAAAATGCAATTCTAGAGAAAAACAATAACATCCAAAAAGGAGCAAAAGATTTTAACAAATTTCTGTGTTTTAAAATATTAGTTTTTGTCATGAAGAATTTAGCTTTTTCAGATTATGAGCACCTTAAATTGTTCCTCAGGAAATTTCAGTCCAGGACACCACTGAATGAAATCTGCACACTTTCAAAATGTCCAATGATACATTTCCTCATACCACATTTCCTGCCAAAAAGTGAAACTGAGAAAATTGCATTTGAAGTTTCAACTTCAGATTTTTTTGTTTTTGACGAGTCTGAGGTAGTCAAATTTCTCTAGGAGCATTGTTAGCACCTTCCTCTTTGAGACCTTGTTGTTCCCCTGGCAATAGCTACCAGTTTGTGTTGTTTGTAGGCAAGCTACTTTTTGTAGCAGGCATTCCTTGATAGATAAACTGGCAAGAGCTAAGAGGCAAATCATACTAAGGAAGAGCAGCAAAGTAGGAATATGATCTGAAGTAAAAGATACTGTGAAAAGGTGTTATTGAAGATGTCACAGTACAGTAAAACCTCGTTATAACAAAGTTGAAGGAGCGGTCGTAATTATTTCGTTATAACCATTAGTTTGTTATAGCCAATGTCCATTTCTTCCCACTATTAGCAAGCAAGGGGAATTATAATTGCTTTGTTATATCCATTAGTTTGTTATATCCTGTTTTGTTATAACGAGGTTTTACTGTATCACATCACCGGGCAGAACCAATCATAACTTTGTTTCGGGTCTGAGCCAATTGATTGCTCATACCAAATTTTCAGGTTTTTTTTCTGTTTGGATGTATAAGGTTCTCCTTGCCTTTGATACTTTTAAATCTGGAAAGCTTCTACGGGCAAAATCTAGAGTAAATGGCGCTTCCACTGAGGGTGAGATGTTCTGGCTATGTTAAACGAGCATGAAGCAGTGCTAAATAAAAAAAATGCAAACGACACTCTTCCTTCTGACTTGGAGGGCTGCCGACATGTCGAAAATAATTTATTGTGAGATAAATCCTGCATGCTTATAAATGAAAGTTTCTGAAATCGTTCTTTGGAAGTTAATAACCATAAGCATATCATTTTTGAAAAAAAAAAAAAAAAGCTTTTTTTGAAAAATTTGAATTTCGAGGCCATATCTCCCCTTAAAGTACAGCCTGCCCCAGAATTTTATGATCAGTTTGTGCCTAACTTTAGAAAATATAAGTTATAGTGTCCTTGCGCACTGGACTTATTAATTAGCCTACATTTTTCTTTTCACCTAGTTTGACCTTAGGGGATACTACAGTGATTACCTCAAGGTATCTGGCGCCACATACCCACTTGGAACACCTATAAGATCCCACGTTAGTGCTTCGCCGAGCACACAAACAAAGGGATGATCTTCTTGCAACTCATTTCTTTGAAACTGGCCTCTAATATTCTAGTGGATTTAGTAAATTATTGGTCTGGTATGAAAAAAAATTTTGGAAGCAGTACAGTCACCCTTAAATTCATCTCACCATTTTTTATTTGATCGCAGGATCCTAGCTCAGTTTCCAAACCTTCCGGGCTCTTTGGAAGCCACCATTTTCAGTTCTGCATTACCTGTTTCAAATGAATAAGCCCCTTGAGTGCATCTCCGACGTTGGCGGGAAACCATTACACTCCATAAACACTTAGGTTAACAGTACCGTGGAAGCTACATGTTCGTTAGACCAGTCGTACATCTACCTCCCGCCGCGTGATTGCACTTGCGCCCATGCTGTGCGTGGAGAGCGAGGTCAGGTGGCGAAAGGGGGGCGGTTGAGAATTTACTTTTTTCTAGTACACCCCGCACATGCGTACACCTTCTTGCCCAACCCTCACTTCCCGGTGTCGCCGTTTTTGGAGGGAATTGTCCAGCACGGCCAGCATCATTGGCACCTATCCGTGCATACTTTGTATTTTACGACAATTCTTCTTTGAGCTTGGGTAGTGTGGGGCATAAAAAACAGTAAAAACCGATACTGCAGCACAATGCCAATGTGTTCCAACAGGTGGGATAACGTTAGGCCGCCCTCCATTCGCAGTTTGCACACTACCTTCCAGATGGTGCTCGTCACTGGAAAGGGTCCATTATGGCAGACTCCATTGTGCGCGCTAGTTTCATGGGCCAGTCTCGCAGATACCTTGTTTTGTGTCTTCGATACAAGGCGAAACGTGAAAACACTATTGTGACTTTCGTCCCGTTCTCTCCCGCCCAGGCGTGGGGTCTGCAGTGGACCCCCAGGCTCCGAGGGCGGGGGCCCAGGCCCCGCTCCACTCGCAGTTCAGCGTAGGGGATAGGGTGGAGGTCCTTTTGGACATCGAGTCCCTCAAGATCATGCAGGACGGCCACGGGGGCTGGAACCCCAGGATGTCCGAGGTGGGCACCCCTCCTTCGTTCCGTCTCCCTCACTTGAGGTGCTCACGGCTTGCGCGCCACATCGTTGCACCGCGTCGGCGGTCGTTCCTTCTCGTTCTCGCGGAGAAAAGAAATCGGCCGTATTTTCGGTGTTCACAAAGGCATTCTTAATGCGTGGCTTCTATACTTCGTAGCACTTTAAGTCCGACCGGAACCGACAGGGCCAATCGAGCTGCTCCAAAAGCAGGTATGGGCAGTATTTCAAATACAAGTATTTGAAATACATGTTTCAAATACTTTGTGTATTTTGAATTTGTATTTAATTACAAATTGGGTAATGTATTTAACGTGTGTATTTAAATACTAAAACGGGGGTATATTTCAAATACAATTGTAATTAAATACAATTTTGTGGGCGAAAATACATCCCTCAAATTTATTGTCACTGCCCAGAGCAGGAAGAAAACTACGTTCTGCACCGAATGCAGTGTCTCTCAATCAAGCACAAGCGTTTAGTGACTTTGTGATTACGGTGTTAGTCCAGGGCAAGAATAGTGACGAAATCGACGTTCACAGCCAGACTGGCTAAATAAGTGCCTGTGACAACTTGTGATGCTTTCCAGCCTGATTTCCATACATATTTTTGCCTGGAACATTCTAAATGCGCGAGTTGTCCAGATTTTCGTAACTGGTGCGAGTTGCAACAATAAAAAATTGTCTAGCTAGTGCTGTGCGTCTTGGTCGTCTCGGTTCTTTGTTGGTCTATACCAAAATGTAATCGACAAGAAAAAGCTGCTTGAAGCTCTGTACGTTTTGCACCTATTACGTCCAAGCTGATTGCATTTTATTGTGATTATATTTCTATTACGTTACTAGAGCCTCGCACACTAACTTCCGAGTGTGCGATGCAAAATTAAAATGAGATACCCAGAAACCCGTTGCAGGTGCCCTGAAGTCGCTGACGCAAATTTTGAGGAATGTATTTGGAAAAGTATTTGGAGGAGACCAAATACATTTGGTTGTATTTGTATCTTGTACTTAAATGCTTTTTTGGAAATGTAATTAGATTTGTGATTAAATACATTTTTGACGAAGTATTTTGTATTTGTATTTCAATACATATTTGCATGTATTTTGCCCATCCCTGGCCAAAAGTTTGTCGTCATGGCGCTCGTGTCTTTGTGGTTCTCCTATCATCAGCTAAACCAATGACGAACAGAAAAGAAGCACAGGATCTTAGTGCACTCACTATGCACGATTGATTTAGTCAGTGGTAGGAAACGCACGAAGGCGGCGAGCACCGCTACGACACACTTTGGGCGCTGCCAGATTGGCTGCGTTGACTACGGTCGGACCGAAAGTGAATCGGAGTGTAGTACGCCCCAGTTCACGTCCACCCAAAACCACACGTCCCGCGCTGCGCCGAACGGATCGTCCGTGAACCGGCGTTGGGAACTGCTGGTCGGCCACCACGTGACGGTGACGGGCTTTTTGTTGCCGCCGGGCCCAACGCTCTCGTTTCGCAGCTGCGTTCCTCGCCCTTCTCTCCCCGCGTTTCTGCGTCCGCGTTTCGTCGTCGATCCCGTTCCTCGGCTCTTCCTCCTTCACCTAGCCTGTCATGCTCGACTCTCAGCCTTGGTCGCCGACGGAGGCGGGACGACCCAGGAGTAGTTGTTCCTATTGCTCTTTAATTTTTGTGGCTTGCTGCCAACGAACGGCTTTGGCATGACGACGTTTTCGTTGCAGCTCCTCTTCTTTCTGTAACCCTTTTTCTCGACTGCTCGACGGTAGTCCTCGAGCGAGGGCCTTTGCGTACGTGCAGTCCGCTTCGCTGCCAAGCACACGCGCAAACGCCGGAAAGTCCTTGTTCCCGGAGCGGCCGCCGATTCCACGGGGCGCATGCGACCGATGACCTCGCGCTTTGCGCTGCGTGCTCTTCTCTACCGAAGCGCAGACGGGAAAGCGCCAGGAGTTGACTCTATAAATTGTACGCGTTCTTTGCGCCCTTGCGATGATCCGAAGAGAGGGGCAGTTCTTTAACCTGGGGTTGCCCTTTCAGGTGATCGGGAAGATCGGCACGGTTCACCGCGTGACGGACAGAGGGGACATCAGAGTGCAGTACGAAGGCTCCAACAACAGGTGGACCTTCCACCCAGACGCTCTCACCAAGGTGACCGTTCGGGCCCGTCTTCCGACTAGTCTCGGCCACGGCTGCTACATTGAGAAATACGCTTGGCGACCGCGGTAATTCGTGAGGTGCAGGTACATGTCGTCGAGACCAAAAAAGCGGCCGAACAATGTTCAGTGTTTTACTGCCGGGAGTAAAGGAAGGCTATTGTGGGTCTCCATTCTGTCATAAGGTACCGAACATGTACCCAATGTTTTAGAATTTAGCAACTTTTGAGAAGGAAAAGAGTGAGAAGTGCCAAAGCCACATGCTTGGTAGCGTGCAAGACGTTTAAATTTAAGGCAATAGGGAAGAGGGCTCTTTGAATGGCGGGGCCTCACGCTCTGTCTTCTACCTTATGATAAGCATAATAATCACATTACTAATTCGTGATTGTGGTACGTGGCACGTTTCACAAAACGCGTGACGAATCTCTCCTATGAAAAGTATGCATTGCACAGAAAAAAGGTTAATGTCATATTTGTCTTTCCCAAAGAGCCTATTTATCGAAATTAAGGACATTCAGTATAATTATGTTATTAGCCCGTTTCGAGTAATTAACACTTTCATTAGTAAATTTAAAGGAATGGTTTCATTTAAAAACATTTTGGGTGTTAGCAAAAACCACTAAGTCGGCACACTTTACAAAAATGTAATGCATACACAGGACCTTATAGCATTCTGAAAACACGCTCAATCTAGACACACGTCTAGTTTTGGGTTTCCTATTGGATGGAACCCCAGTGGTCCTGCTGCCCGTAGCCAAAGCACGCAACTACCCCACCACTGGTCTGGAGATGCGATTTGACAGTTAACCGAAATTTAAGAACTTGTCCAAATTGAGTGTGTTTTCATAAGGCCATATAATGCCCCGTGTGCCATATACTTTCGTAAAGTGCGCCAATTTAATGGTACTCGACAATGCCCTGAAAGATTTAAATTGAAACCGTAGCTCTCAATTTCAGTAATTCAGAAGTTAATTACTGTAAGTCAGGCATCGTTGCAACTGAAGAACAACGCCAAAGCATTTCTGAGACTGTAAGCAATTATGTGTGTGTTTGTTTATTTATTTATTTGTTTCTTTTTTTTATGTATCCTGAGGGAGCACGATAGCACTTTGTTAGTGAGTCCAGAAGTCTCCATTTCTTTTTTAAATGGCGTTCCGGATTGGTAGAAATACAAAGATGTCTTCCCAGTAAATTTTTTTTTTTAGGGTGTTTGGGGTCAATGTTTAAAAATGTAATGTCAAATGCTAAAAAAAAAAAAAATATTTGTAGCTTAAGTTAGTTTCTTTTCTTAGGCAATTTGTTCTGCCTTCCAGGTGGTGATGTTCTCCGTTGGGGACATGGTAAAGATCTGTGATGATTTGCAGAGGTTGAAGGAGTGGCAGGTTGGCCATGGGGAATACATTGATGCCATGAAAGGGGTAAGCAGTACAGCCTCCTACCTGATTTTTGTCCATTTGAAGAGCTCTAATCAGTTGGTGATATCCTTTTGCAGAGCATTTCGAGAAACATACTAACAATTCATATCTTACTACCACTCTTCTCTCTAATGCCTCCAAGCCTTGAGGGTATGAAAATAAATAAGTACACTCGTAATTCCTTTTTAACAGAAAACTCGTAAAGGTCAAGGCACTTTATACTTGGAGTGACGTGTACTTGAGAAGGCAATCGTCTAGCAGCAAAACCCGTTCCCCAGAAAGCATGCTTCACATTTCAGAGATACATAATTTACCCAATTGTAACGTGCCCTCAATTCGAACGTGCACCTAGGTTTTATAATTCATAAGAACAAACGATTCTAGCATAAACGTCATATTCGACTCAAACGAGCAGGCAGTTTTAGGTATATCTTCCTCAAAAAAGGTGCATGTTAGAATTAAACAGCTTAGTAAGCGCAACTTTTTTTTTTCGGGAGATTGAAGAGGTGGCGTGTTAGTAGAGATGCAAAAATAAATGCGAAAAAATAGAAACATAAAGGGACGGAAGGTGAAACTTTTGAAAGTTTCGTGAATGACGATAAAACAGTTACAACGAGGGGTTACCGCACGGAGCCATTTGCATGCGATGTTTGAGCCCTTTTTTTGGGGGCGTTGCACCATGCAGTGCCTGGGCAAGCTGGGCAAGGTGACCAAGGTGTACACGGACGGGGACCTGAGGGTGAACGTGGACGGCCAGACGTGGACGTTCAACCCCTTGTGCGTGGTGCCCGTGCCCGGCTCGGCCACCGAGATCAGCAACACCATGACCGCCAACACGAGGGAGGAGCACGCCAGTCAGTGGACCCGCCCTCTCGCCGTATTGATTTCTGACGCACGGCCCAGAGATAAACATCTGAAACGCTCGCAGGGCATTTCGGTCGCCCATTGTCGACTTGAGAATCGCATCTTCTCGCTCTCAGATTCTGGGTGGAAGTTTCAACGGCTGCCGCTAGTTCTCGCTGTGAAAAGAAATGTCGAAGGATTTTGAAAACAAATTGGGCAGTATATTTTGCCCCCAAGTGATTGTATAGCCAGCTTCAGAAATATTCTGGAGCTGCCCACAGTGCTCCCGTAGAACAGTGGGCATTCTAAGGGTCCGCGAAGCCCTGTCTCATCAGTCAAACCCGGCTATAAAAGTGTTTTTTTTTTTTTTTTTTTAGATTGAGAAGAAACGTTTTAATTTTCGGGTGAGTTTTCTCATGTATACCAATGAGAGAAATCTACTTCACACTAGCCCTTAGTTATGTTAATTTATTTAATCATTATCATAATCTATACCTTTCCCTTTCCCTCACCACAATGCGGTCGTCCATCATCTCTGCCGATCCACGAGGGGTCCGCAAAGACATCAGTGGTTGGGAATGAGTGCTTTAGCACATAAATGCAATTGGGCTAGCTCTGTCGCCGTGATTGTTGAACCAATAAGATGAAGAAATAATTCTAGAGCGCAGCTCTTATGCGCTCGTTCCCAAGTTTCGCAACGTCGCCGTCAACATAACCGCGTGTGTTGCATTATGAGACGTTGCAGACCTATGCGGAGCACAAGTTCGTCTGCTTTTTTTCCAGGGGTTGTGGTGATGTCAGAACAACGTCGAGCTCTGATTGGCTCTGATTGAAGCACAGGGTTAGACCTCAAGGGAAGATGCCTTAACGTATACCTTCTATCCTTCAATCAGAGCGAATCAGAGCTCGGCGTCGTTCTGATCTCACCGCAACTCCTGCGCAAATAGCAGACGACTTGCTCACCGTATACAGTCGCCGACCGATTATTCGGACTCGGAGGGGACCCCCGGAAGGGGGGTCCCCACCGAGTTTGAATAATCGGTCGGCCTCAACCCAGCTTGTTTCTTGTGTAGGACACGGTATCGAGGCTACAGGGCAAAATCAAAACAACCAAAAAGGCGGTGACTAAGCTCGCGGCGCTATCGCGGCAGTGTTTTGTGTCTGTGAACTGAGGAAATCACGCAAATGATGTCCGAAATATCTAGCAATAACCTTTATGGCGTTCGAAATATAGGTCAATGTTATACATTAACTCTTGGGGTGAGTGACTGTTCGGCGAAAACGTCCAAATGATCGTAACGTGTCCGAAAAATCTGCGTCCGAAAAATTGGTTGGCGACTGTATATCCTTAGGCATCTATGAAAAATTAGTTTTTATCCACATCGTCTACTTTCAAAACAGCAGCTCGTTATGCTGCAGTTTCTTTTTTTACATATGTATGTGTATGTATTTCTCCGTTTTATAAGTTCACCATTGTTTCTTTTTTATTGGTTACTTGTTAATGAATAAGGCCACAGTTCTACATGCTCCACTGCATTCGTATTTTGGGTTCTTGGGGCCAGTACAGCTGTTTCTGACAGCCTTTCTACTTCATCTCCACCAATATTGATTTTGTGGGAGGAGAAAGGAATTAATATTATTGAGACGCGCTCTTTGATACCTCGTGTTCCAGACCCCCTGCTGAGCCACCTGCTATCCGAGGGGGGCCAGCCAGTGGCTGGGGACACGGGTGCCCTGGACCGCCTGGTGCGGGAGGCTGCTCAGGGACACACGGACTTTGTCCGGGAACACCTGGCCAAGCACCCAGACAGGGTCAGTCCATCCTTGGTCGTCGACTTCAAATTAGTACTGGCGCTGAAAGTGCAACTGTACTGTGCCGCGTCAAGCTGCCCACTGTTGCTGGAGCTACAGTAAGGCCATTGGAGATGAGTCCTTTTAAAGTCGTGTTGCTACTTATGTCTCGTCAAACATTGTCCATTTGCAATTGATTGTTTATTTGCGGTTTACCCCACTTTAGAAAGCAACTTCTTTGTTATGCAAAATACCCACCATGAAATGGGCCTTTTGCCGAGTTTCCGAAGCGTCAAAGAGAATTTCAGGAGTGTAGGTACATGCGCTGCATGTGCTGGCGTCTGCAGCAGTAAGTGTTTTAAAGTAAAAAATTATCAAATGGCACTTCACACTTGTGTTCCACAAATGCCTTATTTTGGTTATTCACTTTGCATACTTCATATGGGGAAGACGAGTGCTTACGGCGTGTGTGCTAACGTTCCCACCGTTCTCTTGGATGCTTGATATATGTAGTGAAAAGTCTATTGATTTTGAACTAGGAGTGTCTGCACTTAAACTCGAAAGGAAAACAGGGGTGCAGGTTTGTTTCAAATGATTGACCCTATGGAACGTCTTCGCATTGATTGGTGAACTTGACAAAGTCACCTATTCTGTGAAGAGCTTTTGAGCTTGTCGTTTTACTTTATTTTTTGTGAGTATTCCCGCCTTGCATCCAGCCCATCAGATGTGTTGGTGGTGGCATTAGAGTTCTTTTTATATGTGGACTGAAATTTATGCATCAAGTCTGTTAGCCTTTTTCTTGTTTCTTACAGGTGCCGTCTGTTATGAAGATTCATATTATATTTTCTGGACTATAGTCGACATCCTGTCTGCAGAGTCAAATTTTGGCTGAACAAAAAAAGACTTTTCTTGGATCGTCTGTGCTCAGTGCATAGTTTGCACCCAGTGCGTCGAACGCACATAATGATCCTCATTCACAGCACACCTGGAAAAATGCCCACTTTATTAGCGCGCAAAGAATGTTTTATGACACAAAAGTCGCCATTAACATAATCAGTAATTCACAAAATCCGTCACGTATCGTCCTACTGAACGATTTAGAAAAATATAAATTGTTGCGTGGTCTGCACTTGTAGATAGTTCTCACTGCATAAAATTTCAACTTTTAGACGTACGTAGTCCGTGGAAAATACCGTAGTTTGTCAGATTCTCATGAATGAGAGGGTTGCTCTCCAACCACAAACCTTCCGATTGTCCCACAGCGGCCAGGTGCGAGATAGATGACCCACACGTTACTCCTATTTCTATGTGCTTTGCAGGTGAACCAGAAGAGCTCGGGGAAGACAGCCCTGCAGGTGGCGAGCCACCAGGGTCACCAGGAGATTGTGGAACTCCTGCTGCAGTGCGCGGCTTCCGTCGAAGCGCAGGACGACGACGGCGACACCGCCCTCCACTATGCCGCCTTTGGGTGAGCACTTCTTGTAGATTGCACGCTCGGACTGTCCGGGCTGCAATAGCCGACTGCGTGAAGTCCAAAATTTTCGGAGGTTTTCGTTTTGCCTAGTGCCGCCAAATGAACTGTTCCTGGAATCAGGCATGTAGCCAGGGTTTTGATTCGGTGACAAAATGCTGTATGAGAGGGAGGGGGAAGAGGAGGCCCCAGCAAAATAGAAAATTTGGGGGGGGGGGGGGGGGGGGGGGGGGGGGCGAGCCCCATGGGCCCTTCCCCTGGCTCTTCTGGCACTCCCATCCGCTGTTGTCTCGTGGCCAGCTCGTTGTTTAGTACAGAACGGACACAGGTGTCAAGAGTTAGATCAGAGGAGGCGACTTTTAAAGCCTAAGATGCTGTGTCGGGAAGCTCAAGCGATATTGTTTTACTTTGTAGCACACTGTCTTGATGTTTCTGAAGGAGGCAAAAAGAGTTTCCCCAATTTCTGACAATGCTTCAGGAAACTGGCAACAATCATTTAAAGCACCAAGGTTCAGTTTTAAACTGTGATAGCCTGCTACAAAGGGTTTAGCCGACAGAATCCAATCCGATCCGATGTCCTTGTTACTCTCAGCGTAGCTTATTTATGGCTCAAGTATTGCTTTAGGCTGGCTCAGATTGGAATGCGATTTCGCAAGGAGCTCTCTGCTTCGCCATCGGGGCTTTATCAGATGGTTGCCAATGCAGTTTTCCGGTTCGCCTTGCGGTTCACTTCCTTGGCCGTCTCTTGGAATGACGAGGTGAGCGTCTGCCATTGCAGGAACCAGCCGGTGATCATGGAACAGCTGCTGAAGGCGGGTGCCCATGTGAATGCGGTGAACAAGGCCAAGTGCACGGCGCTGCACGTGGCCGTGAACAAGCAGCATGCCAACTGTGTCCGGGTGCTGCTCAAGTTCCGTTCGATCCTCAACGTCAACATCCAGGCACGCATTTGCTTTTCTCGATGCCCGCCTCGCGAGTCTTCGGTGTAGTTGCCGGACCAGAAGTGTCGACGCAACGCGATTTGGCGGGCCGCCAAAGAAGTTTCGGATGCCTCACTTCTGGAGGATATATGGGAAAGTCTCCGGAAGCGAAGCGAAGCTTGTTTGATGCACAATGTAGCTGTTTGTGCTGGTCGTGTGCTACCAGGCCTATAGAGTGTCCAGTTTATTGTCCCAGGGTGCAGCCGATGCAGCAAATAGATTTCACAGACAAAACTAAGCAGGCCTGAAGCCAACGAGTAGTTTTTTTTTCCCCCCAATAATAGTGACAATTGCGTGGTACTAGCCGATATGAGTCTGAATCACTGCTTTGGCATTTATTGTTCTTTTTCGTTGGTCGTCTGCTTTGGAAGTGAGGCTCTACAACCATGCACATTTTGCAGCATCTCGGTAGCTAGTCGGTAGCATTCTCATTTTTAGAAATAAAGACTATGATGAAACAATATAGAACGAGTAGACAAAGTGAAGAAACAGAGTGTTGACTTGAAACCGATTGGTTGAAAAGACAGACACGAAACAACAACAAAAATCCATCCTTTTATCGCGTGCACGTGTAATTGCCATGGCATGTGTACTAGTGCGAAATCCTTCGCTCGCTGTACGGAGACCTTTCTTAACTGCGAACGTCTCCATATGGGGACGTTTGCAGTCAAGAAAGTTTTTCTTTGTGGCCCTCGTAGGACTCGTATGGGGACACAGCCCTGCATGACGCCATAGGCAAGGACAACCTGGAGATCATCGACTTACTCATCAACGTCCCCGAGGTGGACTTTTCCCTGAAGAACAAGAGGGGCTTCAACGTGCTGCACCACGCTGCACTCAAGGGGAATAACTTGTAAGTTTTGGAAGCGTCTGATTTCGAGTGCCATGTTGTTTCTGTCGTAATCCAGCAATTGCTACTAAATCGGTTTGAAAATGTCCGCTCCAGGGGCAGGCAACACTTCTAAAACATTTAGCAACTAGACGAGAAAATTCGTTTCGTTTGGCCTTGCTTACTATACTCGGCGGTAACTTTTTTGTGCTACAGGCTATAAAAACCAGTCCAATTTCCACAGTGTTCCAATGCTGTCAAAGCTATTTGCGCGACCGTGTGGATTTCTTTTGGCGTCTCGTTCAGACAGGAGCAGATGCATATGATCGCAAGACGTGCTTGCGGAGCAATGTGGGTCTGTCACACTGTGAAGGCTGTGCTAGCCTCGACAGCGTAGCACATAAACGGTTGATGCCAAGTAGCATGGTTTTCCACTCAATGTTAATCAGACAGTGGAGCATTGCTTCCCAGTAGTAATAGAGCGTTTCACTTGTTCGTGAAATGTTCCTTTATTTATTTATTTATAAATAAATAATAAATAAATAAATGTTCCTTAGATCTTCTCGGCTGTGGGCTGCGTAGGTAAACGTAGCAAGTGTGCTGGAACCTTTGTAAGATGCGCGTTTCTTTTACAGCGCAACGGAACGCCTCCTTTCTCGAACGCGACAAATAGTGGACATAAAGAAAGACGACGGGTTTGCGGCCCTTCACCTGGCGGCGCTCAACGGCCATTTCCTGGTTGTGGAAACCCTACTCATTCAGGTAGCCATTGTGTCGTCTTGCTAGAGCTTTTTACGCCGAGGGTGTCCAGAGGACAGTGATGTGGCAGTTTGTGCATCCGTCTATATTCAACGACCTGTTTCGTGCGCTCATTGTCTTCTGCCATGCTTTGGCTGTGCATGCATGCTTGAGGCTCGCAAGATGCCGAAGTGCTATGGAAGGTGGGAAGCTCGCGCTGGGGGATGGGGCATCTGCAGGATTTCCCTGCGGACCTCACCCTGTGGATGACTGTGGTAGTGCTCCAATTGGTGCACCCGTCTGGCGGAAATATGCCGGCTGCGGTGCGAGCTGTCTTCCTTTGTTCCCCCAGGGCCAGTGCGAGGCGGACGTGCGCAACAACCGCAAGCAGACGCCCCTCCTGCTGGCGGTGAGCCAGGGCCACTGCGCCATTGCGGAGCTGCTGCTGGGGGCGGGGGGAGCCCAGGTCAACGCGGAGGACGAGGACGCAGACACGGCCCTGCACTTGGCCCTGATCAAGCGGTCGGCGATCCGGCCGCAGGACTTGGACCCCGCCGAGGCACCAGTCATCGCAGGGGTGCGTGGGGGAACAGTTGCGCTCTGCCCGTTCGGACTGTATTTCTTGACTCGAGTTTGTGGCGTGATACTGAGTGACTCTGTGAGGTTATTTGGTGTTTGTGATGTGCCCAACTGACCCCTTGATAGTATCACTGATATAACACCTTAATACTGTCAAAAAGTCAACTGACTCCTTGATATGACTGAGTTTGTAACGCGATATCACGGGACATTATGGGACGTCGAGTGTGGGTGTGAGAAAAGGTAGCGAACCAGAGTTTGTGAAGGGATTTTGAGTGACATCGCAGTATTGTTTGCAATTCATGGTAGGCCCAATTGACAGACACCTTTATAATACTGCTTTATTTGATCAAGAAGTCAAATGACTCATCGATATGACTGAGTTTGTGACATGATATTGAGTAATGCTATGTGATATTGAATGTGGGGGATAGCTTAGATAGCGAGCCGGATCATAAGGTGATATCTAGTGACGTTATGATATTGACTGTCTGTGCAAATACAGATAGGGAGCTAGACTTTGTGAAAAAATAATGTATGACATCGGGATGTTACTCAAACTGTGTTATCTGATGCCAACTGTGTCCTTGATATGACTCGAGTTTGTGATATGATACCGAGTGATGTCGTATCATATTGGGTCAAAGCGCGTGTGCAGGTAGTGATTCAGAGTCCATGAGGCGATGTTGAGTGACTCTCCGAAAATATTAGAACTTTACACAATGTCAACTTGCTCCTTGATGAGAATGTGATATGATATCGAGTGTGGTCACTCTGTTGAGAGTGAAGTAGGAGTTTGTGTGACGATTTCAAATGACCCCGCGATACTATTTTAACTTCACAAGACAATGTCAAATCACTCCTTGGTATGATTTTGTGACGTGATACCGAGCGACGTAGCGCAATGTCAGGTCTGGGTGTGTGTGCAGATAGCGAGCCAGTTGGGTTCTTCGCCCCTGCCCGAAGTGGACGGCACCTTGGCCCTGGCCTGCTTCCTCGCCAAGGAGGGTGCAGACTTGAACAAGAGCAACCTGGTGGGCAGGACTCCCCTAGACCTGGCCGGCTCGCCCATCGTGGCCGACCTGCTGCAGCACTGGAAGGCGCACAAGGAGTGGGTGACCCCTTCCGTCTTCCTCGTCGCTCCTATGTGTCGTGATCGTGTGCAAGTGTTCTAAAATATCCGTGGTCCCCCAGAAACACTTACCTAGTACAACTACGGTGGCTGAAACGCGTCTCCAACTGGTCCGTCTGCCGCATCCAAAGAAGCGGTTCCTCGATTTCCGCCCGATGACTTCATACACGTGCCGTGCCGTTGCCGGCACTTCCTTACAAGGACCTTTGAGGCCTAATAAACCGAGCCGAAGCGAACCTAGGGAAGTTGCAGTGTTTTCATAATTTCTGGCCAAGAAAATTTAGGGTCGAAGAATTGCCTTGGATCGAGACGGAAATTTCGAGTTAGCTCCGCTGCCTCCCCTGCTGTAAATTACTTAATTTTTACTCTTTTTTTTTTATTCTTATTTTCAGTGACCCACTAACAGCTTAACGCCTCCTTAGTGGTGCACTTATCAATGAGTCACTGAGTAGAAAAAGGTTAAACAGGATAAAAGTGAAACGTTAGGAAAAAACAATAGTCTCAACACACTGTCGAAATGTACGCTTTTCATCAAAAATATCAAGGCTAGCATTTGCACAAATCTGTTTTAAATGGTTATAAGTCAGTTGTAGGCATGTCATGGGTGCAGCATGGTAAAAGCTGGTAGGGTAAAACAAAGTATAAAGTCTACAAGACTGACGAGAAACGTGCAAGTAGATGTGACTAAGTAGCTCTGGGGAATCAATTATACCATTAACAATCTTATACAAATATGTCAATTCACGAATTGTTCTCCTGTTGTGCAACGAGTCTAACTTCACGAGTTCAGAAATTCTCTCATAACAATAGAAATAATTCGGTTGAAAATAACGATCAAACAAAACATGAACGGACCTACGTTGAACACTCTCAATTACACCTGAATTTGTCACTCCAATAAAGTTCCAGACAACTGAGGCATATTCAACACGACTACGCACCAGTGAAGAAAACAAACGTAAAATACAAAGTGGTTTAGAAAAATCGCGTGTCACTCATGTAATGGCTCCCAGCACTCTAAAGGAAGCATTCGGAATTGTAGTCACGTGATGATTGAAATTAACTGCAGGATCCATAAAAACGCCCAGATCATGGATGACCTCAACGCGAGTAATATCGGTGGAATCTAATACATAGGGAAAACTCAGAATTTCACGCTTCCTAGAAAAGGAAGTTTATGAGCTACATTTTTGGCAAATTTCTCAAGGTGCAGGTTTCTGAATTAGTTCGCCAGCAGAGATTTTCATGACCCATTTTGTAGTCGTTACCCTGCGGTGACGACTACACGAGAGATCAAATTGCAAAGATGGCGAAACTTGGGCCTTTATGAAAACCAAGTTGTTCATCATATATTCCATTCCTCGTAACTTCACAGACGACAAAAGCTACGGCTCCGCGACTCCCATGGCAGTCATGCATGAGGGAAAAAACTCGGCTATCTAGAGACAAAAATAATTTGTAGTTTTGAAAAAAAAAAAAAAAAGAAACTTTCAGTATTGTAATAATTTGAAAATTAATAACATCATTGACCTAAATACCTAGAGAGATAGACGATGTATCATTTAAAACATTACTCTGAAATAAATATCAAATGTAATCTAATCTGATTAATTCAGCACACAGTCAACGGAAGGGTAACGACCCCGAATAGTCCCACTTACCGACTTGCCGGCATAGATCCCGAAGTCATTCGGATGAGTGGCTTCAGGGATTGGAAAAGGCCCAGCACTCACAGATTGATCAGACATTTCTGCTAAGGACGATAGCGTCTGCTGAACTACCGGTTCGCAAATGCTGGGAGTTGCACATTGCAGTGTTAATGCAAAGTCCGCTGATTTCGAATCGCAACACTTTTTTTGAAAAGTAGGGAAGCATCGTATTTGGCTGTAGGCAGCTTAGGTGGTGTAGCTCTTCTTGGACTCTCGAATTTAAGCAGCAGCAGTCACACTCGGGAAAAAGTTGCACCGAGGGAACGGCGTCGGTGCACAACAAATTTTAGTGATTAGATGGGTCTGAAGGAACGATCGTGAGAGAATGCGAAAATAAAGAAAGAGATACGGAGAGGCAGGAAGAGAACAAGATAGTGATAAGAAAGAAGACAGAGATGGAAAGAAGGATGTCGACAATATCTACAGGCGGTAGCTTTGGGCTCATTGACAGGGATCCGTCAAAATCTCAGCGAATTCAGGGGCTGCCAATGTCATACACCTACCCAGTCATAGCCACCGCCGCTTGCAACTTCAATAGGCTATACTCCCTCCCTTGTGATTGGAAGCCCCCTTAATCACAATTGGGGCGGCCATTGTTTCTCACACCCCAGTCACAACCAAATTAACTTAAACAACCTCTGAAAAAAAAATTTAACAGCTTAGAAATGTGCATGTCAAAAAATTAATTTGACGCAAAAAAAGAAAAAAAAAATTTTTAGAGCAGTATTGATTGTGCGAGATGCGATTTAGTCGGGAGTCACCTCCTCTACACTTGTTTTCTCCCCCAGCATTTCGGGCGCGTGAAGGAGAGGTAGATCGGCTTCGCCTTCACAACCGAGATGGTCATTCCGGAATGACCCTTGACTAGTATATGGAGTTTGCGTGCAGAATCTCAAATAAATCTCTCGCCAACAATATTGCTCTAAAAAGTTTTTTTTGCATAAAATTTATTTTTTGGCATGCGTGTCCCACCCAGACTGTTTAAAAAAAAATTGTTTTTTTCTTTTCAGGGGCCCTTTAACATGTGCTCCTGCATGAAAAGCGCTGGCAAGACAGCGCAACCAACAGAAGTCTTAAAGTGCCCCTGAAAATAAAAAAAAAAAAGTTTTTATACAGTCTGGTTGGTACACGCATGTCAGGAAATAAATTTTATGCAAGAAAAATTTTTTAGAGCAATATTGACGACGCAAGATTTATTTGAGATTCTGCGCGCAAAGTCCATGATGTGACGGAATGGTCATTTGCTCTTTCGACCTCAACGAGATGGTCCTACACTTTCTCCAACTCAACGTGATGGCCAAGCCAATCCACCTCTTCTCCAAGTGCCTGAAAGGCCGAGAGAAAACAAGTGGAAAGGAGGTGACTACTGACTAAACCGCGTCTCGCACCGTAAATATTGCTCAAAGAAAGCTTTTTTTCTGCAAAAAAATTAATTTTCTGACGCGTGTTCCAACCAGACTGTTTGAAATTTTTATTTTTTTCTATTTTCAGTTTTTTTAAAGATAACTACGTAAGTGCGGATAACTTCTTCACCACCCTTGTAGATCCATCTGCGTCCGTGGCGAGACTCGCACAAACAAATATACTAAATAATTGGAAGAGCATAAAACTTACGGATAGATAAGACGATTTCCCAACTGGCAGCAGGCGTTTGACGCCTCCGACGGGTTGGGGTCTTTCTCTCAAACGAGGAGGACGGCGAGGGATGTGTTATCGGGGGAGGGAAACCATGGAGCTCTGAATTCTCTACATTCGCTCTACATTGCAAGCATTCGTACCAACAATGGGGAAATTTCGTGGTTTGTCATAGGAACGGCTCGTCCGTTTGCTAATCTTTGCGAACCACTGCAGGAAGGCGGCGGCGGCCCTGGCGGCGGCAGCTGCGGCGGCTTCCGAGGCCGCGCCGGCCGAGGTGGTTCCGGGCAGCGAGTGCCAGATCTGCCTCGAGGCTCTGGCGACCGTGGTGTTTGAGCCGTGCGGGCATCGGGTGGCCTGCGAGGAGTGCTGCTCGCGCATGAAGAAGTGCCTCAGCTGCCAGCAGATCATCGTCAAGAAGACCGACCCTGGTGAGGCCCCCCTTTGTGAGTCGTCCAATAAGTAATATGTCTTTTTTTGTCAATCTTTTTTTTTACGGTACATTGTGTCGGGCCCGTCAAAGCCACGGGGGTTGTGGCTTTGATGGCAGTCAGCTCCGTGCTCTCCGTTTTTAAAGCATGAAACGCTTCTTAACTCTGTTCCCCAATTCCAATATTTTGTCTGCCGTGGAATTTCCGCTAAATTTAGCGGGGAAAGTGGTGTCTTGTTACGTCACACGACCTATACGCCCTCGGGAAAATTTACGGCACGTGATCTATAGGTCGACTCAGTTTCCCTGCTAAATTTAGCTGGAAAATTCACGTCTTGTGACCCAGGTACCGATTCAGTTTCCCGCTAAATTTAGCGGGGGGAATCGACGTCACGTAACCTATACAACCGTTCAGCTTAATTTAGCGGGAGAATATATGTTGTGTGACACACCAATTTCCTATAATGCATTTCATGCATTTTACGACTTTGAAGGCAAATTTCGCTGCCAATTTTATTTTGTTCCTTTTTTTGGTTAGGTACTTCTTTTATATCACGTCTTGCGGCAAACCACTAATTTACAATACCAACTGCTAAAAAAAAAAGAAGGAGAAAGAAATTATGTTTGGAGTCACTTGGCAATCTTTGTTAATTATGTGATAACTGTTAATTACATCTAAACATAGATTTGAATATATACACACTGCACATCGGTGTGCACATATTTTATCAGCGTAAATTACCGTAGTAACAGAATCGCTTGACTTGAAGGAGAGCTTGTCTAGGCAATGGGCAACTGTAGGAATCATACTAAAATGAACTGAAAGGTTGTGCTCAGTTTCACTTTATGTGTGAATGCAGCAAGATCTGGGCTTTCAGCTTCCCTGCCGAGCACGGGCACCCGTGCAGTGCAAGCTTCATTCGGGGCAACATCCCCGTGCCTGTTGCTTTGGCTTTGCCCAGGTGAAAATCAGTCCACTTCCAGCTGGATGACGAAACTGATCCCAGCTGGAAATGAGACAGTCCGGCTGGAATCTAGCTGGACTGTCCCATATCCAGCCGGGATCAGTTCTATAATCCAGCTGGAAGTGGACTGATTTTCACCTGGCTGCTTGCACATAAAATGAAAGAAGTTATAGTCGGTGAGAGGTTTAGAATATAATGGAAGCGCCTCCCATATTCCTCCCCTTTGGCAGAGCGATCTCTGGCGTTCACACTGCTAAAGTGGAAAGAGATGGGAGGAGTTTCCACTTGTCTCTCAACCTGCTGCCGACTATGTATAGTACGGGTGAGTTCAGATGAGGACAGTCGTGGTGGTGTTGTGCCTAGTCCTTGTTTTCAATTAAATTTTCATATGAGGTAGCAAAACATGTCCACACATTGGAACAGACCTTACTTTCGCAAGATACTTTCTTGTTTTCGTAAAAATAAATTGCATCTGAGAGGATAAACAATGATTTTCCCAATTGTGCTGGGATGCAGCTTTGGGGGCCTCAGGATTAAAGAATACATTTGTCTGAAACATAAAAATGTTTATGTGTAAAGCACACCGACTGGTCCACTTAAATTAGTTTGATTTATATAACTTAGATTTATATTTGAAATAAAATAAAATGATAAACATGGCCTCTTGTGAAACTCTTTCATATTCACGCATTTTTCTGCAAATTGTTTCAACACATCTTAGATTTAAATTTTTTAGTTGAAACGTTTTGTACAGAGTATTTCATTCTTTATTCACTTTTAACAAAAATGTTAACGCTCAACCATTGTGAATCTTTTTGTTTTTTGCATTGCACCCTGAAGTTTTTTAAATATCCAAAAAGTCAAACTTGTGCAATATTTCTGCAGCAATAAAAAATATAATCCTCGATTTTCTTCTTACTTCCCTCGAGCAACCTTTAAAAACTGGTAAATCAAGATCTGTAAAAACACGTTGCATTATATTGTCTAAAAAATAAACTTTAGCCAGGCCAATATTGCAGTCAGTTACTGTTGGAGGGTTTCTGTCTTAACGACTAGTGGTACTCAAGCACCGCATCCACAGTGGCTGCACTTGGTCACATTTTCGCCAAGACACTATGGAGCATTAGAGGAAAACCTGTCACAGACGCTGCGAGAATACCCCGCCGATTGCGAAAGCTTCAAGGGGCACTGACACCCCAAAGGTCATACTCTTTTTTATTGTCTAAAACGATGCAAGTTGTAGTCATAGACATAAAAAAAAAAACGCATCTCGAAAAAAAATTTCCCCGCGTGAGCGCGCACCTTTTTATTTTTGGCGTTCATATTTCCCGCGCTCACCTCCTTGCTTCTTTTGATCGGTGACGTCAAAAATCAGGAAATTTAGAAGCTTTGTAGGCGACATTTCTATAACATTTAATAACGGCAATCGTAAAACATGTTTTTTAACGCAATGACGAACGCACTACGGCCTTCCTCTTTGAAATATCAAAAATCAGATTTCGGTGTGATGTCGCTTCCTGGATTTGTGTTCTCCCTCAAAAAACTTGGCAGCGCTCGAGCAGAGGCTTATCGCCGAGTCGGGGAAGAAACCGGTTTTTCCCTGCACCGGCTCCCTTCTATCCCGCCTGCTCACCTCCTCCTCTCTTTGGGTCGCGGTAGCAACAGCGCTTTGCTTCACAGCGTGGTGCGGAGGTCCGAAAGAAAGTCAAGTCGCAGGAGAATGCAAAATTTGACTCACTGCACTGGCGCGGATCGCGCGTGAACTTCAAATCCGGCATTTGGAAATTGTTTTTTTTAATTCATGAGTACTGAATTCCCAAGTTTCGAATTTTGAGGGTAATGTCCCGGCATCATTTTCAATCGTTTCGATAATAAAATAAATTACGATTTTGATGTGTCAGTGCCCCTTTCAGAAACAAAATGATGGTCGGATCGACAGATGGAAATGCTGCTTCAAACTTTTTTTCATCCAATGAATGTTTTCTCTCGGTCACAGCGGGCAAGCCCCTGATGTCGCGGGCCCGGCAGGCGAGCCTGGAGCGCCTGCGCTACCTGGAATCCAAGGTGCAGGAGATGGAGGAGTCGCAGGGCTGCTCCATCTGCATGGAGCGGCGCCGCAACGTGGCCTTCCTGTGCGGTCACGGTGCGTGCGCCCTGTGCGCCCAGACCCTGCGCACCTGCCACATGTGCCGCAAGGCCATCGCTAAGAAGATCTACCTCTACTGAGCGGGGTGAGCAAAACCAGGCCCACATCTTCTTGCGTCGACGCACGGGGTTGGGACATTGTAAATCTATTGTTTTTTTTTAACAGAGCCCCTCCTAGTATCGGCAGTAACACAATAAAGCGGCGCAAAGACTGCGAACCTTGTAAAACACTACGCTTTTGCGCTAGGGAGTGTCTGGCACATCACTATGCACTGCTGTCAGATGGCTCGGATCTAAAACGTTGCTTAAACTGAAAGAATGCTTGGCTTAGGTGCGGGGACAGTCGAGAAGATTTGGTAGCTAGGGGAACCCTCGGGGGCGTTTTTGGGCCTCGAGGATTTTTCCGGAAACCCCTGGGTTCCTAGGAACTCAGTTTGAGACCCCGTGTCTTAACGTATCGGAGTACGATTCACTGCAGAGGTGCCCATTGGTGGTGCAGTTAATGTTGAAAAATAATGTAAATTTAAACTTACAAAAAAAAAAATTGCTTTTTTTTGTCAGGCATTTAGTTAGGTTTTTATTTTTCTTGCAAAACCATCACATAGTTTGGTGAGGCGTTGTGGTATTTATTACAACAATAGAACAGGTGGACCAAAAAGGAAATAAAATTGGCTTCTATTTATACCCTTTGGTTTGCCAAAATAAGTGCCATAGTGATTAACCATATCATTTGACGTTTTCACGCGAGGTAGACTTGGCCTGTGACCTACGTGAAAAAGATGCCTTTTCTTTGTTACCTTTTACTCGGATAAACTTATTTGTATTCTTAAGGGGTGATGTGGGGCTTTAGAGTCATTTTCGTATTTATAAAAGAATACTTTTCATATTATACACATGTATAACACATATCACACTTATTCAAAATATCCAATCGGATATTGAATATCTTTACTATAACTTGAGTTATGGGAGATTGGTCTAATTTGATTGGGTCATTTGTTACGGGTCGTTAGAGAAAAATTATTCGTAAATTATCAAAATTTTTAATGCAACTGCATTCACAAAGGTGTAATTTGTCTGGTGATGCTATTTTAGATCTTAACTGAGGGGGTTATGTTACTAAACAACTATTGTAATTATGTAAAAGAGATGCTTTCTCATTATTTAAGAAAGTAATTAATTGGATAGAACTGTTAAGTTGGAAGACTATAAAAATAGCATCACCGCACAGCTCCATTCTTCCCGACTAAAATCGTACCAAACATGTTAATATTGTCCAAGACAAACTTCAAAAAAACGCCTGTAAGGCATCGGTACTTGTGAAGAAAGTGTGAAGAGAGAAAAAAGCCCTTGAAGTATGTGTATTCCTATTGAATGTTCATAGAAAATTAAGACTGCATAATTTTTTTTTCATATTTAAAAATTAGATGGAGCAATTATATTTTGCACAGAGCTGTGTGGGTATGTCTAAATACCAAAAAAGCCATTTTCTTAAAAGTGAATTTTCCCCAACTTTTTACCATTTAAAGACCAGCCTTCCCCCTTAAAAAACATACACTGTCTGTTCGCACCTCTGTCGGGGCTCACCCTAGAAATTCTTGAGATGTGGACATCTGACAATTTTCAGGGTGTTGGGAGGAGGAGGGGGATCACTACAACTTTTGGTGTCCTTGGCACTTTCTTTACCGCGCAGCAGGGATTTTGTTCAAAGGGATCATGCACTTCTGTTCCGTAGTGCCGCATAAATCTGCCAAACGCAACAACTTGTGGCGTCACACATTTTCAAAATCACCGTCATCTTGTCCAGCAGAAGTCAGATATAGAGGTGGGTTGGGTATGGTAGAGATGTGCAGTCAGCCAGACTGGTAGGCGGCAAGACCACTGCCACCCACTTTGGGGAGAACTTTGATCTCCGCGCTGAATTACATTGCAATCTGTTAAGAAGCCGAAATATGCCTACCCTTCAAAGGGTTAACGTGCCATTCAGCCTACCCTGTACTAAGTGGCATGAAGCAGTTTAAAACATTTGAATTTGCCATTTTACACGGAAGCACCACCACATATTGTCTATGCATGTTTTCATAGTGTGCCAACATACAACCTCCAAAGAGGTATTGGTTAGCTTCTCATGTTACGGAAAACTAGATCTCTGTTGTACAGTGTCGTCACTCATCCTCAACTACTGCTTTGTCTTAATTTATTTATTCTTTTTTCTTTTCAGGTCAACATTTTGAGGTTGAGACATTGATCCTTGTGCGTCCAAGGCGACTGCTCCAAGTTCGAGTTTTCGGGAAAGACGCCCTTTCCCGTCTTTGACCGACTCTTTCGAGGGCCTCCAAAAGCCTGGCGTCTTGCGTCCATGCACGGTGCAGCTCTGCCCCGTGGAAAGGGCACTCGAAGGCACTTGGAAGTCAGCATTCCCGAAGCAAGTGGAATTGAAACCGCCCAACCCAGGGAGGACATATCAGGAGGAGAGCATCTCATGCCGTGATTGAGCCTCGACGTAATAAGTCGAGAGACTGGCCACAGCCGTGTGCCAGTCTCTCGAAAGTGTTCCAATTTGCGTGATGTGCGAGTCTGTTTCCTCGAAGAAGCAGACCTTGTCGAGTGGTCAGAGTCTTGCACACTAGACATTATTGTGTCAACTGTTGGAAGACATCCCGGTTTTTTCGCACACGTTCTGTGCATATACAGAGAAGTTTACATCACATTTTAACCTTCCGCAGTAGACACTACCATTGACGTCAAATTACTGTCGGCTCGTGGATTCTTGTCGGAAAAGGTAGATTTCACATTTGTACAGTAACTCCCACGGCATGTCGTGCAAACTAAGATGTACATTACCTCTATGCTCAAAGAGTTGGTACACTTTTTGGTTTACACTTAGGTGGCTAATACTACTAGCTATGTGCACTGTCATGTACTGGATCGCAAGTTAGAGCTCAACACGTTACAAAAAGTGTGCATGGACGACGCAAAGTGTTTTTGCGAGGTTTTCGCTCGAATTATAATGGCTCACATTTGGAGGGGAGCCACGAGCTCAACCTTGGTTGATCCGTAAGGCAAATACAAAGTTTTGGTGGTGTCATAGAAGCACCTTTCCTTATACATGGTATATACCAGGGGTGACCAAACTGCAGCTTGCGAGCCGCATGCAACTCTTCGCAGGTCCAAGTACGGCTCGCGGCTTTCTGGTAAGCGTGCCCCCGTTCGCCTCCTGTGTCCCCAAAACAAAGAGAGTTCTAGAATTCAAAAAGAAACTCGGTCTTGACAGCCTTGTAGTACACTACGTACATACAGCTGGATTGCTTTTTGACACATGGATCTGTCCAGTGACCGCTTGTTTTATTGTTTTAAAAAGAATTTCGAATTATATGCACATAACTGGTGTTAGGGGCAGTGGCTGGCTAGCGAACCATGCATTCATTTCTGCTTAGCGGTTGAAGAAACGTCCTGCTGCCTGGTGTCATTTATTGTAGTTGACAATTATAACTGTCCCGTTTGGAAAGGACTGTTCCCTCCATATTGTTTCTTGTTAAAAATAGCCCCCCCCCCCCCCCCCCTACCCCTTCATTTTTTTTTTCCTGCATCTCTCTGAACTTTTGTAGTTTTGTCTGTGGCTCTAACCCCATGTCCCTCTGGCTGCCCCTGGTATATACGGTAAATGATGCAAGGAACCTCTTGCTTAGACTAGACACTGCGATCTGTGATGCGATTTTCTAGGAAATCGGTAGCGTGCAGAAATAGTGACTAGGCTCTACGCCGTTGCAGCATACGGCATCGTGATGCTCAAGGGTCTTGGCGCTGCTGCTAGAGTTTTGAAAGCAGGTGGCGGATTAACTGCAAGGTACACAGTAATATACAGGTTAACTACTGCATGCCAGTGGAAGCCAGCTTCCTTTGAACCTGTAGCGCAGATCTGAATTCATATCCTAGTTGCTGAAGGCATGTTTACATTACCGAGACTGTAGGCCTTCTCGAGGCTTTGAGGGTTGGCCACGAAGGACATGCCCCGTGCAGTGAGTCGAATTAACTTCACGTCGAGATTTCTGTGCATGTTCAGTAGAGAGTGCATTTTTTGTGAAATATACATAAAGAAAAGTTATTCCGTTGATTACAAGTCGTTAATTGAAAGACACACACGGCTTGGTTTATGGAATGCTGTTTGTTGCAAGGTGATCACTGTAACAACACTTTTGCGCGAAGTTTCATCTTGCTACATTGAACACACTGCTCGACAGTTTGATTTAAGAACCTTCATTCGACGAAGCTCGTACAATATTACCATCGGAGGAGTTACACTAGCGATTTTCCATTAGCCGAAGAGCATTGACCATATCTCTCCTTTGAATAGACCAGCATAGCTTCTACGTCCGCCTAGAGATTTTGTGCCGAGATTCGCACCAACGATTGGCACTCGCAGGGTCATGCCCAAACTGTGATCAGAGCCTTAGAGATAAGTCCACAGGGGTGTCTATTTTGCGTAACATGGCCACGCCATAGCATGGAGTCTCGCTGCACTGGTCTCTTCAGTGTGGCACATAGCTTAGAGAAGTAGTGACCAACAGGCCTTTGGATACCACATATACACTTTTACGATAGTGTTGCCCACGTCGGAAACCTTTTTTCCTGGGCCGTTCAACCTTGCATTTGACGTCGAACTGAGCGCCTTAGTCGTGGCATAGTCTAGATTTATTTCGCCGCATTTGTGCCAATGATTTTTAACAATGTCGCGCTTCCAAACCGAACAAATGTGTTTCCGTCTTGGATTTTCGAGACGCCACTTTTGAATTGGCTACCGATTATATACGTAACTTTTTTTGTTGTTTCTTTGCGACCAGTCCGTTAGATTTGGTTGTTTACGTTGCTCTTCAACTAGTTTTATGTAGCTTTTGTGATTTTATGGCAAGTTTCCTGTTTGTGTGTAAAGAGTATTTGCTGCTGTAAATCTTAACCTCATCTCGATAGTATGCATAATTTGGAAGTGACAACGTCTCGCAAAGGATTGTCACAAACACAAAGCACAACCTTTCGGTGCACTTGACTGCACCACCAGCGTTTCCTGAAACTTGTGATACCTGTGCTAGCTGTAACACCCAGCCTACCACTCAGGCCCCCAGTGAACCACACACAGCCAGTTGTGTTGCAGTCGTGTTGGTTCTACCCTACAGCAGACAGTGTTTGTATACCACAGTACTTACATGACCCCGCTCCATAAGAGAAAAAGCTCCGTCAAGTCGCGAGAAACATTTTTTAGGACGTAATATCTCTTCCCTTGAGCCCTCACAAGTGTGTGTTTGCGTGTGTGTGCATGTGTACTTATAGTATTTTTGTGAAACTGTCCTGTCAGGCACTAATTTAATAAAGTTTCAAATTTACCCCTCAGCTGAAAAATTTTGTATTGATTGGCACCACTGATGTTACCAACTCGTACCAGATTTCTGCTCTGCAGATTTTCAGCGCTTTGGACAGCCCATGAGGGATCCTAGGGACACGTGCCGATTCCAAAGGTGTTGGGCCTTGGGACATAGGCCGATTCCAAAGATGTTGGGAATGTGCGATTGCCTCAACCAGTGTGGACGCATGGTCAGTATTTTGCAGCATGTTAGAAATTCTAGCAATATGCCCAGGGGCACCCTTACATCATCAAGCGCCTTGGGCGGACTCCAGTTGTGGTGCTCCTCCCTCCCTTTTAATGCAAAAGCATTAACTGTCCCATGGAGCGAAGCCGGCATTGTCTGTAGCAGCGAAACGGCACCTAAATTCCCATTGGCTGTGATGCGTCATGTGGCTCCATAGCAATGGCGTCATTGTTGCTAAAGAGCCAGCCGAACTGCTGGCGGTGCAGTGGGAGGCGGGAAGATGCGGGTATGCGCTGGTGTGAAGTTGGGCCTAACGTTACGCTTTGAAGTCTAACGTCGTCGACTGGTATCCGCAGCTAGAGCGATGATGATGATGAGAGGACACGTGATTTCAGCAAGTGCTGCACTGAGCTTTCCACTCCTGCCGCTGCCTCACCCAGCGGCGCAGCAGTTGCCAGCGAGCCAGGGCGGTCTGAGCGGCGCAGCGGCCACTTCCACTCCTCTCGGCACCAAGAATGCCTTCGTATTTACAACTCGCAAGAGGTGCTTAGGTGTCTTTGGAATTTTTTATGCACGACTACCTACTATCTACTAGGTACAACATAACGTTACTAAACATAAGTGTAGTGGCCCAACACGAGTGTTTTGTCAGCCGAGAACCACATTCCAAAAACCGCCCATGTCACCTACCCCTAAGACCGCTACTGAATGTGCCCACCCAGATAAACAGTAATTGTGGCGAAATCTCGGCCAGGCGCTTTGTTTGGGCCACTTTGATTATGCGTTAAGAACCTTTGTCAGTCCCGAAATTCGAGGGGACAAACCGGTGAGCGCGCGCATGAGTGTAGATGCACATTTGGCATCTTTTGGCACTTGCTGCCTCAAGTGATGGAAAGGCAATTGAGTAATGACTTTACCTTTTAGCAATTTTAGAGTTATAGCTTTAAGGAGCTTGTGTCGCAAAAAAGCTGGCGTCAGTGGGAGAGAGAAATGAAAGGGACAGGTGTCTGATAATTCACAGGGTGGGGAAGCTTAATGTTTGACGCGAGAATGTGAGTTTTGAAGGGAAACTCTGCTTAATTTTTGTTTTTGAAAAACCGATGCAGTCCTCTTCAGTATCACTTGGGAAGACCACACATCGGATATTACGACCTAACTCTGTCTAAATGTTTCTTAAACGGTCCGGCAAACTGCAACTCGCCAAGATGCAAAAATCGGCAGACTCAAGTGGGCGAATTGAGGCGCAACCAACAGCGCAATCAAGACTACAGTGTGCGCGTAGCCAACATTGAGCTAAACGTCGTCACCATTGCCCCTTTTTGCTTGTTTTTATTCCTCTGGGCAAGCGTAACGGGCAACGTCGGCAACATTTCCTCTCCGACCGAGCTCAGCAGTGTCCACGTGATTGACGTAACGTGCCTGCGCAGCGCGCTTCTTGGGAGTATTCTCGCTGTGGTCCCACCCATTGCCACCGTCTCCTGTGTCACAACTGCCATTGTCGTCTCACCGTTTGTGATTATTATCTCTCGGAGTTTCGTTCACCCTACGGACTCAACGTCCCCAGACCTGTGCCGCAGTTGTGCAGATGTTGTCAAGTGCCCCTATCCCTCCAGTCGTTTTGCAGAGGATCACGTGACGTCTCGTACCACGTGATAGCCATGTTCTTGGTAGTCCGGGGCCATAGTCGGCCGGACAGCCGAAGTTTCGGTTTCTGCTAGTGTTTAAAATTAGATTTAACAATATATATCCTATTTTTCGCAAAGCAAATGACAAAGTGTCTTTTACTAGTGCTTTTTAATGCAAAATCACTTATTATCTTGAAATTTTTGGAATTGAGCAGAGTTGCCCCTTAAAGCGCACGAGCAGAGGTTTATATTTACCTAGCTAGCGTGTTCCACTCTTAAAGGGAAAACATAAAGGGCCACTGAAAAGAAAAAAAAAAATTCTTTTAGACAGTCTGGTTGGGACACGCATATCAAAAAAATATTTTTACGGCAAAAAAAAAATTTTTAGAGCAGTGTTGACAGTGCGAGTTTTATTTTAAATTCTGCGCACAAAGTCCACGACGTCACAGGATGGTCATACACTCCTTCCACCTCAACGAGATGGTCCCCCCCCCCCCCCCCCCCCATACCCAGAGCCCTTTTTCGTTTGCGGCAGTTGGTGTCTCGACCACTTGCGCCATCTCTTGTCTCCCATGCTAAACGACGCACTATTGTTTGAAGACCGGTGGCTTCGCTGCGTTTCCATAGGAGTTGAGCCTTTTTCTTTTTTTACTTTTTCCTCAAGTAAGTTCACTCTTTGCCAATTTTCTAGAAAAAATGCACCACCTGTGGGCAACACTGCACAAAATCGTGGCGCGGTAGGTTAAGAAACCTATTTTTGCTGTCCATTTAAAGAGCCTGGCCGCTATTTGAGACGCACTGTAGTTACAGCGTGCTACAAAAGATGACGCACGGCGCATCAAAAAATCTTCCGAATAAGGGGAGAGTTTGGTCATTGGTAAAAATAGGGCGTAAATAAGGGCACGTAGACCGTTCCATTAGGGTCATAGCAGAGAGGGTAATAGAGAGAAAAAAATGCCCTCCCCCTCTCACCCCGCATGTCGTCCCCCCCAAGTGGGCTGTACCTAGCATCCGGCTGGCGTGCAAACACTTTAAAATCGCGTTATTTGGGAAATGTCAAGCGCATTGCAATGTGCAGGTTTTAGTATGCCAGCTATCGTGTAATACTATGCTGGATATAAAGACTAACAGGGTCCAATTTCGCTGTTACCTGCGTGCCAATAAAAAAGGAAAATAGGAAAAACTGTGTCAGATTGGCCGGTCTCTCCGGCGAAAAGTAAATCCGGTTGCTGTACCAATTTTACTATGCAAAGTTTGTACTGGTGTAGGCCTTTAGCGACCATAAGTGGAAGTCTGAAATAATAAATAAAACCGTGCTCTCCTGCCTCAATACACGCAGTAGTTGAGTGTAGTACTGCCGGCTAACTCAACTGCTATTTAAGTAACGAAAAAAATATATGCTAGTTGATCATTTACCAAAATAGAACAACAGAGAACTATAGGTTGATTTTGGAGTAGACATAACTATTCTAAGAACACGAACCACTTCACAACGGCAGCCACGAGCGAGAGTTCGATGTTCCGTACAGCCTGCCGGTACAGCCCAAAGATGGAGAATGGCAACCTCCCGGTTCGTCGTCTACTAGCGGAGTCGGGCGCGTGCCCTCTCTCTCGTTTTACCCTGTTGGTCCCGCTGAATTTCCCGGATGTGTGGAGAGGGCGCTGCTGTCGAACAAAACGGTGCCGCCCAGAGAGCGCTAAATGGAATGGTCTATTGGGGACTCGGGCGAAACCGACGCCGCGTAGAGGCAACGCCGAGAAGCTCAGGAGAGGAGGTCATTTCGACTTTGTCGTCTGCTATCGCTGCTTGGTTCTCGTAGGGAGCATAGAAACAAGCATCGTTTCCACTAACTATTTTTATGCTTCCGCCGTGTCATTCTTACGCATTGACTAGAAGGTTTCGATCATCGAAAAATTGCTTTGCTGTCATACGTAACACCGATTTTACGCTGCAGTGCAAGAAATTTTTGATGCTCCGCGTGCTGAACGACGAAAATGACCTCCTTTCGTCCGCCATTTTGCCTGGCCAGCGCGCCCCCTATAGTTTGCAGGGGTCGCGAATAGGCCGGAATTCTTTCAATGACCTTGGGCGCATTGAATGTCGGCTCTCATGACCAACCACTAGCCATGAATGTTCCCCTAGCAGAGGCAACGAGCTTAACAAATGCCATCCAATCACAATTTTTAGATAAGAATTTATCCAAGTATTTTATTTCGGCACGCTAGAGTTGAAATTTGCGACTCTTCGTAACTGAAAGGGCAATGCATGTGACGTTGACGTCACAGCGACATTCAGAATTCAATTATGTCTTTTGATTTCAGTCACCACCACAGCAACGACCGAGAGAATGGTTGAAACTAGTGCCACTAAATAAGCTACGCTTCAGAGCAGGGATGGGCAGTATTTCAAATACAAGTATTTAAAATACGTATTTCAAATACTTTGTGTATTTTGCATTTGTATTTACTTACAAATTGGGTAATGTATTTGACGTGTGTATTTAAATACTGAAACGTGGGTATTCCAAATACAATTGTAATCAAATACAATTTTGTGGGCAAAAATACATCCCTCAAATTTATTGTCACGACTCATTTTGCTCATCTATAAGACGTGTCCCTGCTGTGAAGCCCGTCTTTCTAAGGTACAATACAAACCTATGTTCGCCTGCCCCCGTAGAGCGCCTATTTTCCCTTGGCAGCCTTATTCTGTGCCCCAACAGGGGTCGTCTTAGCGACACATTGTTCGAAAAGCTTCTGCTGCTGAAGTCGCACTAGTCGAAACTTCACAGATTAGCACGCACCAAAATTACACTGTACTGAGAAAGTCTCCTCTTTAATGTTGCACTTGCCTCTATTACGTTAAATAAATGTTATTGCCAAAGTTACAATTCTTGTTTTTATGCATGTGTTTGTAAGATATAGTCTCCATCCTTTATTCGGCCATTAGGCTTTTTTTCTTTTCTCCTCGGCTTTATTTTAAAAGCACTGTCCAGAGCAGGAAGAAAACTACGTTCTGCACCGAATGCAGTGTCTCTCAATCAAGCACAAGTGTTTATGACTGTGATTACGGTGCTAGTCCAGGGCAAGAATAGTGACGAAATCAAAGTTCACAGGCAGACTGGCTAAATAAGTGCCTGTGATAACAATTGTGATGCTTTCCAACCTGATTTCTATCCACATTTTTGCCTGGAACATTCTAAATGCGCGGGTCGTCCAGATTTTCGTAACTGCTCAGAGTTGCAACAATAAAAAATTGTCTAGCTAGTGCTGCGCGTCCTGGTCATCTCGGTTCTTTGTTGGTCTATACCAAAATGTAATCGACAAAAAAAAAAGCTGCTTGAAGCTCTGTACTTTTTTCACCTATTAAGTCCAAGCTGATTATATTTTTTTGTGATTATATTTCTATTACGTTACTAGAGCCTCGCACACTAACTCCCGAGTGTGCGATGCAAAATTAAAATGAGATACCGAGAAACCCGTTGCAGGTGCCCTGAAGTCGCTGACGCAAATTTTGAGGAATGTAATTGGAAAAGTATTTGGAGGAGACCAAATACATTTGGCTGTATTTGTATCTTGTACTTAAATGCTTTTTTGGAAATGTAATTAGGTTCGAAATTAAATACATTTTTGATGAAGTATTTTGTATTTGTATTTCGATACATATCTGCATGCATTTTGCTCATCCCTGCTTCAGAGTAACGACACTTGGCCGTATTGTGTCTTAAAATCATGGTTGCCAGTTATCTGAAGCTTTATCTGAAATCAAAGGAAACGATTTTCCGCCCTCCACAAATGTTTAAACAGTTCGCGACAGAGCAAGGTAATATTACATTAGCTTCCTAACACCGAATCTAATGCTGAGGAAGTCGCAGTTTTGAATCATGACGATCGGCAGTTGCGTCTGCTCTGAATACGAGCCAAAACGGCGGTGTCCACAACAACGTATGGAACGGAGTGCCAATACTCTAAGCGCAGCTCATTTAGTGGCTCTAGTTGAAACCATGGACACGAGACCAGGAATATTTTGACCCTGACCCACAACGCGCATCCCATATTCGCAGTTTCCAGTCATGTTTCAGAAAACCTTCTCGTCAACATCACCTTTTTCTGGCTCAGTAAACGCATTCAGCACCTTGAAACTCCCTATTTCCACCAATCTCTTACAATTACCCATTCATGTAATTTCAGCCTTGTGCAGAAACAAAAGATACCTGCGCCGCAGTGGGCGGCTCCTTCAAGGTCACCTCGGCTTCATTTTACTTTGCAGGATCATTGCAGGGACAATATGCAGCGCTGACGGCGGCGACGCTTTCGCCGCTCCACCCTGGCTCTCGGCAGCTCCTCCCATTGACCAAACTCTCCCAATATACAGGTCTGACAAAAAATGACGTCCTCACCGTGGATTAAAAAAAATAAATCCATACAAGTCGCACAAGAAAAATGTTTGAAAAAAAATCGCGACTTATGCACCGGAAAATACGGTATATTTCTCAGTTTTACCTCAAGATGTACCGCAGCAAGGGCTGCGAGCTCGAGCCGTTAGCTTAAGCAATTGCAGCTGCTACGCGAGTTTTTGTCCAGCCCAGGACTCCAGGTGCACTGTTGCCAGCAGAAAGTTGCCTGCTGAAATTTATGCAGACAGCATAGTAAGCCAATTCACCAACTCTATGAGAAAACTTTTTTTATTTTCATACAATATTTTAGCTGGCTATTTAGAGAGGGTTGTGAAATTGGTGCAAAACTTGAACCAAATTGGGGACTACCAAAAACCAGTGAAGTTCCCTGAAAAACAATATGTCCATACAAAAAGGGATATATTACCGGCTTTATGCCAAGCTTTTACTTTTTCAGATACTATATGCCCCAAATACATTCAATCCACCACTGAAGCACATCGGTAAATAAGTACTATTATGCTAGCCATGTTAAACAAAAATAATCTTCGACAGGGGTATCATATGACACGTCGGTTCAGTTCTGGCACACAGTCAACGGTAGAACACTCGAAACGACCTCATTCCCCCTTTCCCCCCCCCCCCCCCCCCCCAACCGTATTTGGATACTATCTGCAAGATGAGAAATTGAAAAGGAGCATGTGTGCAACCTTGCAAGAAATAGTACTGCCAGCAGAGTTGAATGTCAACTATGAATGTGGCTCTTCGATGTAGCACTTGACTGTCCCATTGGGAAACTGGAAATGATTGAACTGCAACACTTTGCAATACCCAGCCTGTCGCACTACGATAAAGCTGACGGCAAGACCAGCAGCATGTGACAACTCGCCCCACTCCAGAAGCATGAAAGCCACCACTCCACCGAACAAACTCGTAAAGAAACACTTGAATTGTATGAACGCTTTGGCAAATGTCCCGCAGCTAGCCACAAAAAAATTATAGGCACGCTCAATTTACATCTAGAGAATGACAACTGTGTATACATATATCGGATACTGCAGGAAAGCTAGCCTCGAGCACATGTGACATGCACAAATTATAAATGACTAGGGTGCGTACGAGTATGCATTCCCAAAAATATGTGGTGCAAACACTATGAAACAAGAAAGTAAAAGCCTAATTACAGCAACATCAGGACAGCAATACTGACAGTAAAGTTGAACAAAAGTTTCTACACGAAAGTGTGTTAATCCAACTTATTATAAAGATAGCAAGCTTACTTTGTTGCAAGGCACAGCAAGGAAGAACCCCCTAGAACGAGCAAAATGCCTCCAAGCTTTGAGAAACCTGGGATGGTAACACCTGCCATAGTTCAATTGCTACCTAAACGTTATTTAAATAGAGGTTTACAAATCTTGCACAGAGTAGAAACATTACCCCAAATTTTCAATACCTTTTTTCTTTTTTTTTTTAATTGGAATAGTAAGTTTAATTTGGTAGCCAGCGTACGGGATTCGATCGAAGTAGTGGCACCTATGAAATTCCATAGTGCTGTCTTCAAATCATAAGCATGCAAACATTCTCCTCTCTAGACCTTGCATCGTCGGTTCAACTTCCCTGCCACTGTCGGGGACACAAAATGGGCGATGCTGTGCGCACCTCTCCGTTGCTCTTTCTCCCCATGGGCTCCGTTCAACAACTCGCATTCTCTCGCAATCTCGAAACGAGACACTCGAGTAAAAAGTTGCGGAAGCAAAGAGAAACGCACCTTGCCGTACCTAACCACCCAGCACTGCCATTCCGGAAAACGCTTTCACGGTTGTCCCACACGTAGAAGGGGCGTGGAACCCAGGCTATTTACGAGAGACATGAGACGCCCGCTTCGCCGTCTTCAACCATGAGCGAGTCCATTCTCGCCACGCGCTTTGCCCTCCGTAAGATAGCAAAGACCCTCGTGGAAGGTTTATTGCCCGTTCACACATGCGCCGCAGCACCACCTTGGCGCTAGTATATAGTCGGTGCTGGAAATGGCGCAGACCTCGCCAATGCAGTATCGACTTCACGCCATGTTATAGTCTGCGACGGGCTAAGAATGCAGCGGAACCTTCCCTTTGCTTTCCGCCAGGCACTGGTTGCGCCTGCGACGAAGTGTCGTCGAAAGCAGAGAGCTCGTGCTGGAGGCGGAGCATCTACCGAGTCCTAAATCCCTCGCCAACACGCGATACATCGCCGAGCTGAATTCGAGTCGGCACTGCGTCGGTGCCGTTCCTAGTGTTGATTTAGTGCCGCGACGTACGTGTGAACCTGCCTTTATTGCCACTCACTCGTGCTTGTGGACCGTCTCCCCCAATAAATACCGCCCTCTCCTACTGGCGACGAGACCAGCCGATGCCGAGGCTCCACCCGCAGCAGCAGGAAACTCGGACGACCGTCTTCTTCCTCGTCGCTCCCCGGGTCGTGTCGGGGTTCCTCCGCCGCTGCTGCCCCTGCCGTCCGGGCGAGCGGCCTGTGCTTCCTCACTTCTTGAGGATGCGCCGTATCTGGCTGTTCTGGTGCACGATGGCGCCCTCAGCCAGGTCCGTCTTGTCCGTCAGGCCGTCCAGAAGCTCCATCTGGTCATCCAGTTCCTTGCCCAGGCCCTTGGCCAGGCACTTGAGCCGCCCCAGGCCGCTGTCCAGCTCGGCTGTACGTAAAGCGGGAGAAGAAGAGGTCGGAGACCAGGCGGCGGAAGAGTTCCTAGACACCTTTCCAGCGCCGGCGCCCGCACGAAAACTGCCGAGACGCCGGGCCGTGCACGAACATGCGACGTCGGGTATTCCGCAGAGGAGGGCTATTGCACGAGCTCGAGACGTGTTCCACAGCCTGACAGACGAGGGTGGCGGTGCCCAAGAGGCGGCTATTGCGTCAGTCTATATCGCTGATGTAAAGGCTGGTTTATACACTCGCAACTGCTTACGACCGTGTTCTTTAAAGCCTCTTACGACGAGAGAACACAATGCTGGCTCGAAAAACTTTTGGCAATGTTATAAATGACCATTTCTCATAGACAGTATGTACTTTGATATCACAAATACCGCAAAACCTTCACTCTAACGAAATGCAGTTCCAGGGTCAACTCGTAGGTAGATGGCACCAGCGTGCCAGCGCGTTCTCTCCTTGTAAGGGACTGCAAGAACATGGTCCTAAGCAAACGCAAGTCTGTGAATGGGCCTTAACACGACAGGTACAGTCTGCACCAACATGAAAGACCCACTCTGAGCACGTGGACGAGACGGTGGCCGGCCACCTGGGAATCCATGGGCCGGCCCTTTGCCTCAGAGCCACCGAGGCGGCTAGATGGAGGTCGATAGTGGTGCCACTTCCGCTTTGTCTTATCGAGTTTCGCTCTTCTCGGAATGACGTGGAAAGTCCTCGACAGGCATCCCACCAGCCACCGTGCGGGCCCCGCACTCCGAATGAGCCTTTCGTATTGGAGGAGACTGTACAAACATTGATCGGCGGTCTTACCGCCGGCACGTCTCCTTGGAACCCGTCAAAGCTCGACCCTCCGGAAGAGGGTTTCTAAAATTCAATCTCCAAGGAAAGCCAATTGCTTGGAGATTGAATTTGTCATGGGGGGGGGCACCCATGACAAAATGCTGTATGAAGGGGAGGGGGCAGTGGAGGTCCCAGCAAAATGGAAGATTTCGAGGGGGGGACCCGGGGCCCCATGGGGACCCCCCACCCCTGGCTACGTGCCTGCCGGGCCGGCAAAGCCAAGCTAAGCTCGGAAGCGGCCGCTGCGCAATCCGAACGATGTGCTACATGGTCGCCTACTCTATTGTAGGGTAGGTACAGTCTGCAGCAAAAATTTGGGGGGCGCAGGAACATCGGCCAAAATGACTGGTTCCGCCTTCTGACGGCGAGTGGCCGCCCTCAAGGTTCACATTGCGAGGATGCGCTTCCTTCCGTGCTCAAAGTCATGTCTTTTTCACTCGCTTCCGCCAGACGTGCACGAAATAACTGGGACCAGCGCAAGGTGCCGCTCTGTCAGCCATCATGCCGCACGTCTGCCTCAGCAGCCACTGTGATGGGGGACAGAGCTCGCGCATGCTAAAGATAACATTTCGCGGCACCTTGCATTTGCTGCCGACTGTACGCGAGTTCTTGCCTTGTTCGGTATCTATGATGATTATACTATGGTGGCTGGAAAGGGAAGTGTGACGGGCAGGAGAGAAGGGCTGCACAGATTTGCGATGAAAGTGACTCGTCTGCAGACTGCAGTGCCCCTCGCAGTGGCAAAGGTTTTCATTGCAACTAGCGCCCCTTTCTGACGTGGCGTGCATACGGCACCATGTCGGACCGTAATTTCTTTGTCGACTACATGAATTATGCATGTTTCACCCGTTACATAGGTCGAGCGCCTAAATTCCGCAATGAAAATCTCAGGGACCACTAGGGACACTGTAGCCAGCAGGCGAGTCAGAGGTCCCCAATATTTTTAGAGAGCCTGTACCACAGAGATTTTCCAACTACTCGATTGGGGTCACGTGGTTTATGGGCCACATTTGCGATACAAACTGCGAGAAGGTGATGAAAGCGTTCATCATCTGCAAACGTCTCCTCCTTTTTTTATGCTTTCCTCTTCACCGCACAAAAACGCAGGGCCTGCGTACTTGCAACGAATCGCCAGAAAAGGTGCTCGCCATTAAATTGCGAACGCTCCCCGTCGTCTGAGGTGAACCCTCTCTTCAATCTAGGCTCTAAAAATTTCATTGCAACTTGCGACCCTTTTTATTACTGCGCGCATACGGTGCCCATCACACTTCCCCTTCTAGCCACCATAATTATAGCATTAGAATGTTCAATGCACTTTTTTCGTCTGTGCTGTGGCGTACCACCGTAAGGCCGTGTAGCTGTTGGCGAGAATCATGAATAGACAAACGAGCAAACGCAGCCGTACCCAGGTTTGAGTCCAGTTTCTGTTCCACTTCGGCAGTGCGGCTCCCGTAGCCCGCAGACGGCTGCGGCTTGGCCGCCACGAGGTCGCCCCGGTCGTCTTGGAATCCGGCCGCAAAGCCGGACGTGTCGACGCCCCGAATCCGCAGGCCGGGGTGGGGTCCCCGCTGCCTGGCCGAGTTGCTGCCGTCCAGCTTCACCTTCTGCAGTGTCTTCTCCAGCTCCGTGACTGGCTTCTCCTCTTCCTCCTCGTCAACAAATGGAGCGGCTGCTCCAGCATTTCGGGAGGCATCCGCGTTGTTCCCGCCGCGGAAATAACTCTTGATGCTTCCGAAAACGCTCTGGGCAGAAAGCGAGGAGACACGTGGAATTGTAGAGACCTTTCGTCAAGGTGCGGTTACGGTGCCTTTCGGTGTTTCAGAAAAAAATCTTTCGGGATATTGCGGTACTTTCAGACAAGATGAACAAGGAGACGTCGGCTCAAGCTTTGTTCGTCAAAAGACGTATTGCGATATCCTCGGAATAAAGAAAGTTCGCTGACCTCGTTATAGTCAGGGTTCTACATCCTCGAAGGATTATTTTTCCGAAAACTTGGGGATGCTTTTCGAGAGTTTGTTTATTTACTGGAACCGTTTCTCGGTGCGTGCATGCTTTCGTCGCTAGAAATCGGTATTCATAAAGGCACTTTTTGCGTGCAAATTATTGCTAGTCCTAGTAGGCTATGAAAAATGGGCAGAACTGCATATTGTGCATTCGATTTTGCTTGTGGAGGTGCCAAATTTTCACTTCTTACATAAAACGTGGAGTACCTTTTCACAAAAATGCACAGCAAGTGTGCCAGTAGTAGAATTACTAACAAGACCTCCCCATACACTAAGGGACAGTGAGGGTACAATAAAAAATTACTACATTTCTGCATAGTTCAATTAACGATAAAAATAATCTTGTGAGCTTTCAAAATCGGTAAGCGGCTCAAATGGCCTAAGAAAGAAGCTGAGTAGATAATCACAAAGTAAAAAAATGTTTTTTTTTTTTTTAAATCGACCTTTATTAGTAAAAACCCTAAAACTGGAATCGATTATCACAACGAAGGAACCATTTCACAGCAGAAGTGGCTTTTTAAGAATTCCCTCTTTGTAATAACAGTTAGAGAGGATTGAAACAGGTTAATAAATTTTAATGTGTCAGCAAAAATGATCTTTCTGCTTTAAAGTTGGTTTTATTATTTCTCATATTTTGACATGTCAACCCCTCTAATGTGTTGCCTCACTGTGCTGTAAATATATACATAAATAAATTGTGTCGCAAACTTTTTTCTTGCACCTTTTTTCATGGCGGTTTGCGGTCAAGCATTGAGCCTGGAATGCTGCACAACTACAACAGTGTCTATAAAAAAAAAAATGGGAAACAACTCTTCCAGAGCAACCTCTCTAAAGACGGGACAAAGTATTCATCTAATGGAGACCAATGACAAAATTACTGCCAAGCTACAGGTAGCTTCTCAACAAAGCAAATATTTTTAATGAGAATTTTTGAGTTAAATAACTTATTGGAAATGGAAATCCAACTGAAGGGTTTCCAAGTTTGCAATGGCATCTAAAGAACAACACAATAAGTTCACCAAGACTCGTCAACGTGCAACCCTCCTCTTCTAGTATGAACTCACTGCCTTGCAAAAATGCCAAAAAGAATTCACACTCTTTCTCGAACTGTTTCACAGGAGAAGCATTTGAGCTTTAATGACATGAAAAACATTCGTCAGAGACATCAAAGCATGTCAAGATGACAAGTGCGTCTCTCTCTAAACAAAAGGTTGGCAAGCCAGTGAGAGGGAATGCTGTAACACCTTGTTTTGTGTATAGAAGGCACTCCCCGTGACTATGTTGTTTCCAAATGATTGTCTGCACACCACTTACTACGTTTCTTTATTGTACCTAAGGGCTCAAAGGCATGACCGAAGGGGAGAGCAAGTACACCGTAAAAATAGTGACAAAGTTACACAAAGTGATCTTTCGTTCTACTGTCCTTTTCTCTCCCTCCGACGTTTTGTGCGCGGTTTAATCTTAGTTACACAAAGTGATCTTATGGAACCAGCAGAAGTGGTGAAGAGTGACTGTTGCGGCATATTCATTCGCGAAAGGCAACAAACTTAATCACTATTAATCTGGTGGAAGGTTTTAATGCTCGACAAAAAGACATCCAGCATAGCTGAGGTATAAGAGGTAACTTGAGTTTCTTTATAAACCCTGAGCCTTGCTTTTATTACTCTGGATACTCTGGAAGTGTTTGAGTTCAAACTGTACAAGTTGGAAACAGTATAATAGCAAAATGAGCTATTAAATAGAAACAAAATTAGTATACTGAAAGTAAAAAGTTAATATGCCGGCAAAATGTGGTGCCAAGCGTCCATTATGACAACAACAGAGTAAAACTGTGTGTCGAGATGCCAGATTTCACGCCCTATCTGTTGCCAAAGCCCAAATTATCGTGCTCTAACTATGGCTATCGGGCATCACAGCATGTAAATCACTTTTTAAATGATTGTCAGGTAATGGCGTGTATTTTCCCGTTGGACGGTAGGAGCCTGACAACTGCCTGTCCACCATTCATTAGGTGAACCTTCCAAAGCCACTTTTCTAGAAATGTTAGATCACACAGCTTTGTAAAAGGAACTACACGACACATTATGGGATGCCTTTGAACACATGCCCCCCACAATGCCCTAAGGCCATGGAGCATACCTTCATTGAGTTGAGGTGCTTCTGGCTCGTCTTCATGTTGGTATTAATGTTGTCCAGTCTTCGGTCCACATTTTTAAGTTGCTCCCCTTGGTGCGCTAGTTCCTGCAGAAAAACATTTTAAAATGAAGTCCCATCATAATTTCAGTGCTGCTTGGTTTTCAGATAACCTTTGACAAGTGCTAGGTGGTGGTCTACTGGAAGTACTACCTTTGGGCATTCACGAAAACTATTGATACTCGAGTCCATTTGTTGGGACAATTATACGTTATGTTAACACCCTACTGTTGTTTTAGAGCTTCGAACGTCGGGTTATGTTCGGAGATGTAAAGCAACAAGTAAGCGCCGATGCTTGCGCAAGTTGCCACACCACGCACTGTTTCGTTAAGTTCAGAATCGACCACTGAGTAATAAACCTTGCGGAGTGCAGCTTTTGACGTCAATGACTCGCTTAGTTGACCACTTTGAGCGCAGACAGAGCAGGGGTGGATCCAGAACTCTGCTTTGGGAGGGGGGGGCGGAAAATTTTTAAGGATACTATTCTCCCATTCTTTCTTGTGCACTGGCGGGTCCACCCATGTCAAATTGCCCTCCGAGAAGGGGGGGAGGGGGGGAGTCGACTTTGTTTGGGGGGGTGACCGCCACTGTCGCCGCCTCCGTCGCCACCCCCCCCCACCCCCCTTGGATCCGACCCTGAGACAGAGGTGATCATATAAACGGGAGTTGACTGCATGTGCAAAGCTCCCAGTCAAACCAGAAAATGCTCATATATCACAACTTCAATAATATGAAAGAGGCAGGACATTTCGAGGCCAGTGGCCCCTTCTTCAGCAGCCTCGGAATGAATAAATACCGGGTTATAAGAGGTGCTATTTTTTTCCTATTTCTATCCAAGTAAACAGTATCATAGCTTTTTGTTTGTTTTTTTAACTTGTTTTTATTTATGGTGGTTAAATTTTTTTCAGAGTGTGATAGCTACCTTAGAAACGTTTGCGCCTTCAGATGTTAGTCCAAAGAGTTGTTGTTCAGCTTTCAATTGAATGGTAGTGTCAAGATGCGCCGCTCCAAGCATAGTACAAACAAAAAAAAACTTCTAAGCTTTTTTTTTTTCTCTCTTTTATAGTGTCTTTGAGCACGTTTACAGCTTCCTTGTCACCACAATGACCAGCTTTTCCTTGACGCGCGGAAGAAGACATTTTACGTCTACATTGCCATTTGATCGGTCTCTTGCGGGGGCGTCTTGTTTATTCCGTCGGGCCGCCAACCCCCAAATCATGCAATACCGAGATGCTTAATTTTAATCACAACCGCGGCTACTTTGAACTCGTCGGTACAGCGGCCTACAATTAGGGGGGGGGGGGGGGGGGGGGGGGGGGGGGGGGGGGGGGGGGAAGTGAAAGAAAGTAAAAACGCCTCGACCAAAGGTGAACATCCGCGAGTCACGTGAAAGCAGCACGACAGTCAGTTAGCGCAAGAGCGTTCCCCCTGAGAACATCTGTTGGACGTGGTAACCCAGGGGCGGGGGGAAAAAAGGACGAACAACACAACAAAGCGGGACAGACTTCCCGGCCATGTCGTATTTTGAGTCAATATCGTAAACTCCTTTTTTTAGTTTTATCTTATTTGGCGGACGTCGGTCACGATGCAATGCCACGAAACTTCCTGGCCGCTGACGACACGTCGATTGTACCGCGAACGCGTTATACGGAACTCATTCTGCGAGGCGGTCACGGGTTTATGCGGGAGCGTGTGTGAACACAAGCAGCGCAATTTCTCACCTCGGCAGTGGCGATCCCAACTTGTTCGGTGTCGTACATGACTCGTACCGCAGAGTCCGACTTGTCGAGTATTCGGTCTTCCAGCTGTCGGCGCTCCGCGAGCAGCTGATCCCGCCGCTGTTCCCATTCCTGGTTTATAGAATTCTGTTGCCTGCTGGACGAGAAGCCCGGGCCGCTCGGCTTAGAGCGGCTGAGGAACGTGAAGTCGTCCACATCTTCGGAATCGTCTTCCAAAAAGGGGTTCGCACCAGCTTTCCATCGGCCTGCGTTCGCCATGTTGCAATTTTACGTGATGGATGGATAGATGTTCAGAGCAGAGGCAGCAGAGGCTCTGCTCCTAGGTAGAGTGCCTAGAATATACTGGGCACTGTATCCTAGGTAACCCGAGGTTGGTAGCCTGCGTCACCTATATTAGGTGGAATAATAGGTATTAGATTTTGCCTGGCTAAATTAATTTACGTTGTTTCTTGTCATACAAATTTAATTTATGAAATATTTTTACAAATAAACAAAATTTGAGGCTCGATATAGTTTTTTTTTATCATGTTCGATCATTTTCTCCAACGTTGGTTCACTCGGAGACCTCGCTGCCCTCCCCCCTGCCTCTACGCCTCCATTAGTTCACGTATCATCTCCACTCCATCTCTTCCATATCTTTCTTCCTTCTCACAGCTTCTCATTTTGGCGCACATTTTGGCGAGCTGGGCAAGCTGTGCGCGTGCGACTGACTGCATCTGAGCGCGTGGCACGTGTGGATTGCGTGCTGATATTTATTTGGATGCAAAGGAATGATCTGGAAGCGACTGCAGACTACGTCAGCTTGAATCATGTAAGTTATCAAGAACTTGCGTTGAGTCATAGTTGCAATCGGCCGTAACTATCTTGAGAGATCGCCGCGACCACTTTTGGAGGGCAGACAGGCGCCTTGCAAGAGTTCGTACTGTCTAAGCACTTCCTGGTTGACGAGAGGCGCAGCCTTGAAAATGTCGGAGCAGCATCTGCGCCACACTAGCTCCGGCGGTCTGCAACTGCTGTTTGGCCGGACTGTGCGGCCTCGAAACCTTTGTCTGCTGAGGGCTGTAGCGCTTTGGCGCAATTTCTACTTAGGAAATTGACCGAGTGCTCACTCCTCGAACAGAAGACATCGAAGCTTGGAGCAGGGAGGCTTGTCACCTCCAAAAACAGTTGACAGCGTTGTTTGCCGAAAGCTTTTTAAGAAGCGAACCTAATAGCGTACAATTGCACTTTTCTTCGTTTTACACCCTCTTGCTGGCATTGCTGCGAGGGATGCAACTCCAAACGGAACCGGAATAGTTTAGATTTGGACAGCCTGGACAGTTTTCACGCGGCCGAACATCACAATGTCATTACGGAGACCACATTTGCAAGATATTGAAGGGCGCCACGTGAAATTCAGCATGAAATGGCAAAGCACAGTATTTTTGTGAGCAGTGTGGCAGTATATAATGGAGCCAAAAACGACAACTGAGCACGTATATGTATTTGATTGTACCAAATGCAATATTGAAATTGTCAAATAACACTTAACCTCGTCGGAAATTAAAAATTTTATGTTTCATCCAGCCAGATGACAGCTTATAGGGGCAAGTCATTTGTTGCCGCTCTATGTCCTTAAATGACAAAGCGTGTCAAGTTCTAACATACCTAACGGTTTTCTGCGAATGGAAAGGCAAAAGGTAATATATTCAATTTTAGAATATAGTCTATACACAAGTGCAGGAAACATCTTGGGGTTCAGTACAATTCGAGTAGGAGGCAATGGATGGTAAAGTTACACACCAGTTGCATGGGCAAGCCTGTATCAAATTCACGTATTTTCCCACAGCTTTACATATTTGCGAGACAATTGCTTCTTGGCAAATGCCTTGTACACATCGTTTTTGTCGGTCTTCATGAAGGCAAAATTCACAAGCAGCGGCTTCATAAATCTTGTGGACACCAGTTTGCAGAATCTTTTCCTGTGATCGGTATCTTCACTTCTTTCGCACCTCAGAAGAGGCGACGAGGAGATGACTGGTACAGTAAGTTTTAAAAGCACAATCAAAGGCTTTTTCAGTCTTAGGTTCTCTTTCAAGATCACCTCAACAAATGCCCTGAGTGTGTCGAGCATATTAAGGAGATTGTTTGACGGATACAGAAGTCCTCCTCTGTCCTGGTAGTGCATCAGCTTCTGCAGGGGTTGGTTGCATCTTGTCTTTGCTGTCACTGTACAGCAGATTTCACAGCCCATCTCCACTCTAACCACGTGGGCTATTTATCCACCAACATGAACAGTTGCTGGAAGTTGCAGTGTTGGTAGATGAGCTTGAACTTGTGACACCCTCAATCTTCTAAAAAAAATGCAGGGTCCCTCGAGATCGTCACCGTTTGTTCTTTGGATGGTCATGGTTGCACAGTTAAAGTCCTTGGAGATGTGCAGGATGTGGGGGCCGTCGCAATCCCGGTCTTCATGATCTTTTCTAGGCCTGCCATAGCAGACCGCACATCCAGCTGGTCATTACATCCCAATGCTCGTCTAACAGTTTGAAAGAGCGACTCGAGGCAGTCGCTACTAAATTTTTGTGTCAGAATGAACACAAAGGGCTCCTCAGTCAGGAGGTACCAGATGCAGGCCACGGTTGAATAACTGGTCATTAGCAGAGCTTCGTAGGTTTCCTTGCTTAGGAACTGGTGTGGAATATTCACTCTCTTTGTGAGGTCCTCAAGATGCATTGGCAGTGTTGTCTCTAGCCATTCCAATTTAGGATCCTCTGGATCGTCATACTGCCTTACATCTGGGAATTTTTGGAAGATGCGCTGTCTCTTGTTACTTGCGTCGTGAAGTACAAACCACCAATTCATGTTCTTAATGAAAGTCACCGATGGTCTACAGTCAGCAAATGTGTTGTTTTGACAGCACCCAGCTTGGTCTTTTAGATACTTTAATGTGGCTGTTACATCTGCTGGGAGTACATTGACTGCTCTCGCCACATTCATTTTCTCTATGTTGTTTGGATAAACGTGTTTCCTGCTTGGGAACCTTACTGGCTTGACAGTCCAGCTTTTTTGCATGTCATAGATCTTTTTTTATGTGTGACAAAGAGATCTTACCATCTTTACCCATATCGTGAGGAAGGAACTGTGATCTCACATTTTTCACAACATGGCAATAGTCAAAGCTTAGAAAAAGCAGTCTTTCCGAGGTGCACGGATGTTCAATTTGGTACGTGAGGAAGCCACCACAAAGGATTCTCATTGCACTCATATTAGCCTTGTGGTTGTCCGTGACAAGGCGCAGGATTCGGAAGCCTGCCGCTTCGACATTTTTCATCACAAACGCAAGGAGCGTGGCTAACTGGCTTCCGTTGAGACCTTTGGTAAAAGAGTATGAAACAGGAATCCGAACTGACGTTGACAGTCCATTGAGAACAAAGCACAATAGTGAATTTGCCGACGGTGTCTCAGGACTCGAGTCGTTGGCTATTCCTATTCCAGTATGTCCAACGAAAGAATACTGCTGTTTGTTGTATTGCAGTTTTTCTTTCATGTGCATCTCGTCACTCTAGACAAACTCTGTTGTCAGCCGCTCAGTCTCAGCCTTGAGGCGTGCATCGATGAAACCGTTGAAGCTGGTTTCTCCAGTGGGAATTCCGAGATAGTTCTGCAAAGTATTCCGGCTTGAAAGCTTCAAAAATCCTTCCCTTCAGGTGTGCTCATACAATTTCGTCGAAAGGTGCCTCAGGACAATTCAATGGCGGATGGTTTCTTCAGACCAACAGGGCCTTTTTTTGGCTGAAATTTGAAATCTGCTCAAGCAGGAAGATAGCAGAATGTTGCTTCTTGGCTGCTCATTCGTTGATGTAGGACAGGTCGGTGACATGGCAGTACTGTCGCAGCTTCTGGAGTTCCTCTTTGTAACTGTCCAGTTTTTCGCAGGAATCTTGTTTCTTGACGTTGCATTCCTTTTGCTACCACTTTCTTCTTTAGAGGACCAACCAGCTGGGTGCTGTCCTGCAGTCAGCTTGTGTTCCTTGATCTTTAGTAGTGGAGGCACAAACTTGCTGGAACTGGTTCACTATGTTAGCTGGCACTTTTAGGCACTTCCGTGTAACAACTTCAAATTCCACAGAGTCTGCCGCAGGCCAATCCATTGGTTCAGTTCCTGTTGCATGCCTAGCTGGGGAGCTTGTCAATAATGTAGGCAGCGGCTCCGCTTATGTAGATGAAGGCTCCAGCGGTGTGTGTTGAGGATCCCCTTGCTGCACGCATTGCATCCCATCTGACAATTTCAGGATCTTCTGTGGAACAGTGTCACTGCAGAGGGATCTGTTTTTGATACTTGAGCTACCCCTTTACTTCCTACTCTTGGGCTGGAGATGAAAGGGGCAGCATTAAAACGCCGAGGGAGCTGCCCCTTTCTTGAGACGACAATACTTCCCCTTCAGAAAGTCTATCTCCTTGAAGTGTTGGCTGCACACTTTGCCGTAGTTGGAAGTCATGTTGAGTGTCCAATTGTCACGTCGAACACTAAAATCCACTTGCTCAACTCTTCATCTGCTGGAATATCATGAAAAGACAATCCAGGAATATTCTTCTTCGTGTTTGAGGAGCAGTTCGGTACACAACAGTATGCCGTTCGCTCCTGAAACAGCAGGAATGCAAAGTTCTTTAGAATCTCTCGAATGCTCAAGAGAACACAGGTTGTGCATATTACAGGCTGCCTATGTTCCTTTCCTTTATGTGGCCGTACACAGCTACAAGGCTACAGTCACTGGCATGACAAGAAGTCTCTACTCTGCTGAGGCCTCAGAAAAGTGTTGAGAAGAGGCGCGGGCGTTTCTCCTCAACACTGTGACTCCAGCATGCACTCGTTGCCTCTGTGCTGCTTCTGCTTATGAATGTCTGAACCTTTAAGAGGCGCCGAAATATCTAGCGAGCTTCGAGCGTTCATCTGCCGAAGCGGTATGTACAAATGAGGCCTTTTTAGCGCTCTTTTTTACTGTCAACAAACAATCTGTAAATAGAAGAACGCTAGAACTTCCGTAATATCGTGTCAGAGTTATACAGCGTCATCACAATGCGATTCTCACGTAGGTGCTGCTGCTGCAATTGCAAATATTTTGAAGGTGTTGCATACGCTTACCTTTTCAGAAGTGGTGAATGACCACAAAGGACTCATGAACGTAAACCGAACTAGCAAACGACTCAACTGCACAAGTAAAGTGTTGTAAGAATAAAGGAAACGTTGCAAAAGTTTCCACGCAGCTTCGAATTCACAGCACCGAACGGTGTGCTGCTTCGGCGGCTGAATCCTCACTTGGCCGCGCCCTCTCACGTTAGGCAAAGCAAAGGACAAAGGAGGATAGAAAAAGGGAGGAGGAAAGACGATGGCAACAACGGACCTCCGGGAGAGATTTGACAAGCCCAGAGTATAAGGAGGCTATGGTAGTGGCATCCGATGAGGTGGCAGCACAACTCAACTTCAGTGTAACTCGACTTCCTCTAGTTTGTACCTTTCACCAATGGCCAGCTGAGTCATTCTATGCCAAAGGGGACACGGGATATGTAGTAAAAAATTAATTTGGATAAAGAAGCCTTTGAACTCCACAAAAAAAGTTAATTATTTTTGCTGATATTATGGTGCCTGTAGCGTGTCTCCGACGGGTGGGTTTGCAGCGTCCAAAAAGGTGGTCCCTCGAGTTTTGCCCGATGACATGATAGGAGTGTCATGCTGTCGCCAGTTGTGATCCTGGCGGTGTCCCAAGAGCTGTGGTGTATGTGGCAGATGCCTGTTCTGGTGCGGGTCGCTCTCGAGTGCGAGAGCCCACAGAAGCTTCGGCAGCCAGAAGTTGGGACGCCGTGACGAAAGTGACGCTCGCGTTTGCTTGTGCTACTGGCAGCTTCTTGTTAGCATTTCTACGACCAACTGCCAGGATTGCGAAATGCAACTCAGCATGACACTTCGGCTTCTGTGACATCATTTGTTGCCACGTCGGGACCGCTTTTGATGTATGGGCAGCATAGCACACCAAACGCACCGGTCGAAAGCGCACTCCAGGCACCATACTGATATCGTGCTCTCAATTTCTGGAATGTGCATAAAACTGCTGTAGTGAAGAAACACATTGTGAAAAAAAGGTTGCATACCAGACGAATTTAGGTGGGTGCCTAATTACTCAAAGGGGCCCTGCAATCATATTTAAGCGTCTACCTTTTTAGCGGTTTCCACGTCTCTTGGGGTTTGGGCAAGCCAGTTTTCACGGAGAGAGTAACTGAATATCAGTGCGTCATATTTTAACCGGCCGATGCGAAAACCTCCTCCACCTACAGGGGCGACCCGCAGTGCCGAAAGCGCGCAATATGCGACGACATCGTGGCGTTTTAGGTCTTGGCCTTTCTACTCGTCAGAGCCGCTAAAAGCTTCTTTTTAGTCGAAATACAAAATATAAGCAGCGCGAGCTGTTTCAAATTTTTGTAAAAGTAGTTTTTGTGTCTGTATTTTAGATCAGAAAAGAAACAAATGTAGTTTATAAACTATGTAAACAAGAAATGACCCATCGACATACCCGCCGCCGAGCGGTGGAAAAGGCGGCGCACACTAGCAAGGTGTAGTGGGACCAGGCACCAACGAGCGGCGAGCGTAGAAAAATCCCGGATGTACGTGGTGGCGCTGCAGTCGAGGATCCGACTGGTTCCAAGCGTTCCAAAGGCCTTCGGCAAGCAGCTTTGGCTTGCGGTTTGGCCCTTTGGCGGTATGGCAGCTCGAAGCGGCTCCTGTTCTGAACTGATCTTTACCCGTGTTTGCTGTCGTTTGTGGCCAATGAAGTGTCATGCCGAATTAGTGTTTAATCACGCAGCAAATGCAATGCGAGCCGCCCTGGCTGCCCGCTTCATACAGCCTATCCAGAACATTCTTTAGTGGCGCCCTCTCGAGCCGTCGACACGGAGTGCTGCAGCCGTAAGCGATCGCTGAGCTCACTACCCCTCCTCTAGTTCACGGCCACTCAAGCAACCAAAGGCGTCGTGAAGGACGTTATTTTTTACTTGTTTTGTAATTTTATTTTGCCTATAACTTTTAAATTAAAGCGAAATTTGAGAAAAGAAAAGTTTTATTAAGTTGCTACGTTCAATGTGAATTAAAAACCAGTGAAAAAAGTCCTCGCAGGGCCCCTTTAATAATATGCCCTACCTTACACTAAAATAGAAGCATTGAAAGATGCCATTTTGAGGTCAAATGAGAGCTCCAAAAAGAGACTTTATGAGATTTCTTTATTTTTTCAGTCAACTTGAATTTGGGTGTTAGCTACAATACTTTTTTTGTTTGTTCTCATAGAACTAATAATTTATTTATTTATTTATTTACCCTCAAGGCCCCAAGGGTATTACAGAGGCGAGTGGGGGGGATTAGGTGACAAGGGTACAATTGTTGATACATAAAATATAATACAGTAATTAATGCATGCTTGCTCAGACACTTCAAAAATATTTACACAATGTTATAACAGTAATACCAACTAGAAAATGGTTAATCAAAATTAACAAACAAGGCATTTTTAAAATCAATAATATTGGTTATGGAGGCTATGTCAGCGGAAAGGCGATTCCAATCATGGCTAGTGTGAGGAACAAAGGAGTTATAATAAGTGTTAGTCTTGTAATTGGGGATACCGACTTTGTACTGCTGATCTACGCGGGATGAAACATAAGTAGGTGGCGTTAGAAGTTCACGGCGCATGAAAGGGTTATTATGGTAAATCTTGTAAAATAAAGTAAGGCGAGAAATGCGTCTACGGTTCATTAGTGTGGGTAAACCAAGGCTATTTTTCGTTGAAGTAACACTGGATGTACGATGGTAATTACAGAGTATGAAACGTGCTGCACGATTTTGAACTGATTCCAATGTGGCAATGATAGTGTTATGACCGGGGTCTCAGATAGAACATGCATATTCAAGTTTAGTACGTACTAAAGTAGTATATAAAAGGAGTTTTAGTGACACTGGTGACTGTGAAAAATTTCGTTTGAGATATCCAAGCATGCGATTGGCGTTGTTAGTTACGTAGTCAGTGTGAGTTTCCCAGGAAAGATCAGAAGTTATGTAAATACCTAAGTATTTGTAAGAGGACACAGACTGGAGCGGAGTGTTGTCTATGTAGTAATTCGAGCATATGTTAGTATGACGGGAAACTCTCATGGATTTACATTTATTAAGATTGAGTTGCATCAACCACTTGTCGCACCAGTTAGACACAGAGTTAAGATCAGATTGGAGAACAGAGATGTCGGAGTTATCAGTTATTTCTTTATATAGTACAAAATCATCAGCAAATAAACTAATATTAGAGGAAATACATTCAGACAGATCATTAATATAGATGAGGAAAAGTAGCGGACCTAAGACAGAACCCTGGGGAACTCCAGATGCTACGGGAGAAAGTGAAGAGTTAGTACCATTGGCATGCACAAATTGAGAACGGTTAGTTAAAAAAGCTCCTATCCAGCGTAGCACGTTCGGATCAATGTTGAGGTTGCTAAGTTTTAATAGGAGTAGCCGGTGAGAAACTTCATCGAAGGCCTTAGAGAAATCAAGGAAAACGCAGTCTATCTGGGAGCCACGGTCAAGGACAGAATGAAGCTTATTAGTGAAGAGCAGAAGCTGTGTTTCACAGGAAAATGATTTGCGGAAGCCTTGTTGAGTTGGGTGAAAAAAAGAATTCGATTCTAGGAAACATGCGAGGTTAGAATATATGATATGTTCGAGTATCTTACAAGGAATGGATGTTAAAGAAATTGGCCGAAAGTTGTTCGGTGAGGAGTGGTTGCCACTTTTATGAATTGCATGTGTTAAATTTTCAAAGTCTCGTTTGGTTGCTTTTTAATTAAATGACAAAATCTCCAGTTTATGCAGAAAAGGCCATATTGAGAGCCAGAAAAAGCAATGTGGGCAACTGTGCCCAGAGTAAATGGTATAATGCATTTCCCTAGCGCATTATACCATTTATTTTACTGCATTGGAATGCAACAACTGGAGTCGATGCAACTAAGTCACAATCATGTCATTGCAGCTAGAGAGAAAAGCACTGCTAATTCAGTTCATCAAAAAACTCACAATTTCCTGTAGTTCTTAATTGAGAACAGAAGTGCATTTCTTTCCCATTTTTAAACAGTTCCAAAGAAATGTTGCCCAAATTCAATATTATAAAAAATGTCTACCGTGTGCTTGTTTGTACAAACAATTGCACCATGTAACCACAGAAAGAGCTCAAAATTGTACTTTATGGGAGGTAGCATTTTAACAGTATCTTTATTTTTATAAAATTATGTTGATAACAGGTAGAAATTTTTCCGGTTTGCTTTCACTTGCTTAGTACTGATTTTGCACCTACACACATACCTGTGAAAATGGGACATGGGGCTTCGTCTTGATCAGTGGCGTAGCCAGGAATTTTTTTCGGGGGGGGGGGGGGGCTGGGGCTGAGGCTGAGGTGGTTGGGATGTCTATGACTTGGTGTGCGGAGAGGGGGAGGGGGAGTCAAGATGCACCTGTATATTATAGGGTCAGCTGGAGTTTGGGGGGGGGGGGGGGGGGGGGGAGCCAAAGCCCCATAATCCCCCTCCCTGGCTATGCCCCTGGTCTAGACAGTGGCCACCTTACAGATCTGGTCTAGACAGTCTGGTCACCTTACAGATTTGGAAAGCCCGAATGAATAACATTATTAGCCAGAAAACGAAGGAGGCATGACTTATGTGGTGCTGTGTCCAGAACAAAGTGGGCATTACTGCAAAACAGGTCCTGCAAATGCCCTCAGGTGTTTCTATGGTGCCACAGGATGACTGACATTTGTTACAACCCTCTCTTCTTAGAACATTTTAAAGTTTTTCAGAGCTAGGGGGACTACCAGTGCACTGGTCTCCTAGCTCTTATGCTTTCGGGGTAGCTGCAGTGCACTGCTGTTTGTGTCAGGGATGTTCGCACTGCTATTCATGGCACTGTCACCCACACCCGCAGTTTCTTTGGCTGGTGCAGCCACATTAGAAGCATCATGCACACCAGCTTCTATCAGAAACTGTCTGGTGTCTAACACCTAGCTGAACTCCAGCACCCCCTTGTTCTGATTAAGAATGCTCGACCTTCTGGCTTTCATCATGTGGGCTGTTCAGAACCAGTCCTTCATGGTTCACACTTGCAACAGTAGCAACAAGGATGGGTTGCAGTTGCAACAGAATGGAATGAGGCAAGGAACTGAGTTGGCAGACACTCAAAATGATAGTGTGGTGCACACAAAGATCATTGTTATGAGAAAAGTTATCCAAAGAGTTTGTTTTTCTTCAGCTGTCCGGATATGCCATCTGTATTGAAGTTAAGTACGGTTTTGGTCACATCACAACAATTCCTTGACTTTTTGCTAAAAAGAGAGCAATAGTCGCCTTCCGTGACACATTGCTCTTTGCAGCGCAAATGCGGTTCAAACCTGCTTGATGTTTTTTTTTCATACAGCAGAATGCGGCACAGAAGAGGACACAAACTCGAGGAGTATGCAGAGTACCTCTACGAGCGTTGCCCTGGACTCTCCACGGTCAACAAGATTCACGCAGACCTTCGTTACATCAAGGGCATCATAAGTGGCAAGAGGATCAACCACGACCTCCCTTGCACTGAGGGCGCGGGCAAGCTGTGTCAGATATGGGGCGACCTCACTCTCTGGAACGAGTTCCTCTGGCTTGTGGACGCACAGCTCCTGGAAGTGACTCCGGGTGTGCTGGGAGTGGTCTGCCTGCATGGCGAAGTGTCGGCACCCGTGTACGACAACATCCTCCGGCGCCATGCATGCATGCTTCTGCACTGGCTTGTCAAAGAGCACCGATGTGTCAAGGTCCTTGAGCTCGAAGGGACTGTCATTCCCAGGAGCCACCACCTTTTTTGTGACGCGTTGCGCGTGAGCTCAGGATTGAGACGGCTGAAGCTGCGCAGGTACTACTTCGAAGACACTGTCTCAAAAGCCATTGTAGGAGCCATCGGGAGCCTCGCAATGTTGGAGGAACTAGACATCTCTAAGCTTAATTTGTCTATGGATGCTGTGATTGACCTTGCATCATTGCTGACGGACATGAAATCTCTCAGGTCTTTTTCTTTCTGTGACATTTCACTGGTGGAGTCCACAGCCCAGATTTTTTTTGAGAGCTTAGGTAGTGCCAAGCACATCACAGCTTTGGTTCTTGCAAAAATCTGTGTGCGCCATGATAGAGAGGACGCACCCTTGCCCGAGAGAGTGTATAATCCGGAGCCTATTTTTAAGATGCTTGAACAGAACACAGTCCTCAAAAAGTTGCATCTTTGGAGTTTCTCTTGGCTCCCATCTGATGCTCAGCCTATGGTAAAAGCTATGTCCAAGAATGCCACCCTGGAGTCGTTGGTGATTGACGACTTGTTCTGGAGCATGGACATTGATTTCTTTGCAGAGTTGATGGAGAGCAACACTGGGCTCAAGGAACTGGCATTGCCATATGTCATCATCGGGTGTTTCACTCCTTTTGTCAGAGCAATCCAGAAGAATTCCAGCCTGCAAAAGCTGACATTGGGTGTGTCAAAGATTGATGCAGCAGAAGCAGAGCTGTTCTTCCAAGCCGTAGCTTGCAGTCATTCCCTGGAACATGTGAATCTGGGGTCAATTGGGAGGGAAAATGTCAAGGACTTCTGTAGAATCCGAAAAGACACAGGAACTGAGACCAGAGTTGAATTTAAAACTCGATTTAAAAATCCAACACTGTGCTGCGAAACCTTTAACATTTGCAAGAGCCTTGGAAACATTTGTTTTTCGTTTCATTATGATCATATTGATCCTGCAGTTCTGTGTGGGTTATTTGATCAGCTCCAGGTTTGCCATTGGCTTGCTAAGCTTAGCATTTCCTTTTACAAGGTGATCGACGATGCTTCCGCTGCATCGCTGGCACGATATGTGTCATCGGCAAAGGCTCTGAAGGACCTTGAGCTCGACTTCGAAACATCCGAGTCAACCTTGCCAGTTCTTCTTGAGGGCATTTCTAGTAACAAGAGCATTTCCAAGCTGTCCCTCAATCCATGGGCCTTTGATGTACCTGAGTCACAGATGTTTGGAGCTATGCTAAAGGCCAGCATGACCTTGAATGAGCTTACACTGAGGGCATCGCACTGTTCGGAATCTGACGACGAATTCTGGGATGACCCAAGCTTTGCGATTCTGTTGTATATTCCGAGCTGTCTTTCGCAGAACTATACAGTGATTGATGTGGACATTAGTGATCACCGCAAAGCAGAAGAGGATATGTTTCGTGTCAAGGACACCATGCGACGCAACCTGTCCTTTTTGCAACGTGCTGCACAGTTTGCAATGGGAGTGCGAAGCAAGCAGTGTGCAGAAGCATTTGAGCGTGTGCATCGAAGCGAGGCCTTGGTGACAAAGCTGCAGGAACTGGCTTGTGTGACAAAAGCTGAGGCCAGAGAAAAGATTAAAAGTAGTTTGAGAGATCTGGATGAGAATTTCTTGGTTATGGCTGGTGTAGTCAGGAAAAAGGTTGTCTGTGTTGAGCCGACATCGGGACAGATCACGTTGGATAGGATCGGGGTCGACAACTGGCTTCAGATTCGGTCCTACCTCAAGGTGGGCGACGTCTTGGACGAACCGGTGGCAGAGTGTCAAAAGGCTCCTGCCAAGCGTCGTCATGTTCGCAAACGAAAGCTCGAAGCTGTATCAAGTTGAGTTGGTTTTTGTCGGTATTGTTCAAGTTCTCTAATCAAGGTGCACTGACAGCGTCAGCTCTCTACTGTTCCCTTCTCAGTACCTTTCATTGCCTTTAAATGTCACGGATGGTTTCATGTCATGTATCGTTGAATTTACTAATGATTCATAGAAATGTCACATATTAAACCAACAGTGAGTTTTCAGCTGAAGCAATTTGGTCAAGGGAGAGTGCATTGAGGGCCTTTTAATAGTCCCTAGAAATGTTTCAATGACTGAGATTTGCCGTATGAGTTTGAATTGTTTGTGTGTGTGAGTATAGTTACTAGTACATCAGATTCTTGTTTTTCATTGTAATGTCTCTTCTGTACACATGGTGTGTTCCAGGTTACATAAATGAGATGTCATGAAATGGGATTCTAGGTATTCTACAATTGATCCAAGTAGGCATATTTGGGGTACTCTGAGAAATTGGTATGAGAGGAGTTGTTTGTGCAGATGAGTTTCATGGGTAATAAATAAATTATGTTCACACGCTGATCTACTGGCTATAGGGTGTTTTCACTGATGTAATTTCGTCCACCATTTTGTTGTTGTGAGCCGTCTGGCGTGTGCCAAACATTAGCATTCCAAGGATTTACATGACCCTCAAATGCGTAGAGCAAGAAGTTTATGCTTTACCACGCTGACATCATCTCAACCGGTTGCGATGTAATCCTTCAAATTAGTAAATTTGTTTGAAAAACAAACTAACAACAAAATGGCACATTGTTGTCATGTGCAAACAACCTATTGCAAGTTCCGGCTGTACATTCACTGCCCTGGTGTCCAGCCTTCGAAATCCAAATGGGTTGTTGGTTTTGTTGGTGTGGGCTTGGAAGGGGAAATGCAGGCTAAGAATATTAACAAACAGAAGTAATATCAGTAATGTTGTGTGGCACTAATATGAGAAAAGGGAGGTGAAGTAACTTCTGTCCTTACCGTGCAATCTGCATCCATCTGCAGCAGATGATTATTCTCACGCCACATGTCTAGACATGATTCCACTAGTCATTTGACATTCCTGTCTCGCACGCATTTGAGGCTGCTGTTGATCTTTGGGTGCTCAAAGTGTGCTGCTTTCATAAATATGTTTCCAGGCCTCTGAAATAACTGTGCAGTCACCACAGGTCTATAGACCTTCATAAATTTAGATATTGAACACTCGTGTTTATGTTTAAAGGGAAGCTGAATAAATTTTCGAGAAATCTGAGGTTAAAGCCGACCTCTATAGGTTTTTGTTGCATGAATTCAGTTATCGCACTTGGCCAGAAGTAAACGTAAGCAACATTTGTTGTGAAAAGTATGTGCAGCATTTGCCACAGAGCTTGCAGCGAGCCTCTGCCGCCTGTTTTATCTCCAAAGCGTTGTGACAGCATCGTTTGCATCCTCGAGTCAGCTAGTGGCGAGCAAGGGTCATCTGAGCCCTCCAAAAACGTCACTTTTTGCTCGTTTCATTGTTTTTTTTTTCTTTGCTCTGTACAAGGGGCTGGCTACATCAAAATTTTAATTCGTGGTTAGAACACTCCTGCTAATAAGGTCGAAAGAAAATTGAAGACATAATTTTTAAGCTGCCTACATTAAAACTCAGTTTTTTTCGAATTCAAGGATCTCCTCGCATTGGATTAAAGTGCAAAAAGAGTCGGAACCATGTCGGATTTCACTGTAGGCTACGCAATCGTCCGTAAAGAGTCATATATGAAGACCTTAAGTGACAAATCAATATAAACTGGAACGGTTTTTACAACAGACCCCTGAGGGACACCAGCATTGGCAGACACAAGTGGAGACATGCCATTATTGACAGTTATGAATTTCAAACGGTTAGTTGGAAAAGGTTTCTTCCTGTCCGGCAATACCCTTTCACAGTGGAATGCGAGAAACAGTCGATAGTGTGTTTGCGCTAGCAGTGTTGCACGGGCTAGACAGTTATACTCTGCGATGTTACCCGCAGAGTGTCGAACCGATATTTTTATCGGTCCGGTTCGGGTTCCGGTTCACGGTTTTCGGTTCAGTTCCGGTTCAGTTCCGGAGCGCAAAAAATAACGGTTCAAACCGGTTCGAACCGGTTTGAACCGCTAAATTGAGAATATATTTTCCGCGTTGTTCTGTCAATAGGCACTATTTAGGCCTGAAACTAACTACTGTAAACGACCTGATCTTTGCGAGGACTTAATTTTTTAGAATTTCGCGAATCGCCTACAATTCACGAAAAATGGGGACGCGAACAATTTCGGTAAAATGCAAACACATTGGAATTTATATTGAGATTCCACCGCGTCGAAACTTCAGCTTTGACCTAAATCGCGAAATACTGAGCCCACGAAAAATAAGTCGTTTACAGTATATAGCTTTTTTCTATCGTTTGTTCAATCCAGTTTTATTTTCAGGTGCCAAAATTATAAAATTGTGTTATTGATTTCTACACAACAAAAAAAGAAAATCTACATTAACATACAAAACGTCGTGTTTATACGACTCAACATCCCCTCGTTTGCCAGAGTCATATACATTGTACCTGAATCGAAATGTTTTCGCGAAGTGAAGTTGGTTGCCTAAAATATCCGTGATTGGTACAACGTTGCATCGCAGTATTAGAGGTTGAATGGTGGTTTTGCCCTTGAACTAAGAAATTGTTTACAGTGAATAAAATCATGAAATGGGCACCTCGTCGCCATATATATCATGAAATGTGTTCTACGGAATACGTTTCACAGTATATATATGATGACGAGGCGACTGAGCTTAAAGCAAGATAAATTTCAAAATGTGACGAAAGTCACAGGACAAGCCCTTTCAGTGTATATTTTATAGAAACTCTGAGCGACAATCGCAATGCTTGTTTTTCTAACCAGCATTGTTTGCTCTCAGCACCGTGATGCGGCCGACGAATCATGCAAAAAGGAGTGACTGAAATTGTTCACTCTAATCTATTAGCACCTTCGTACTGAGATCTAATCTGGCCTAAAAGAGTGCTTACCCATGTGAACATTTTCTTATATTGGATAAACTGGCATAGCCTGGATGTTGAGGTTTGTTCTTGACAAGGTCCCGGTCAATTTAATTTGCAAAAAAGCATCACCCTCGTTAATTGATGTTTTTGTTAAATATAACAAAGTGGTATTTCATGCTCTACTCGATTGGGAAGCTGCTTAATTGGACACTTTCTGACAGTTTGCGTGTGTAATCGTCATAGTTCCACACTTCGTCTCAGTGTATTTTGTTTTGGTCCGACCCACGACACGTAAAATTTATGTTCACCACATAAAAAACGCGATAATAAACTTCCATATGTTTTATAAGTTATATATACGTGAGGAACACATAAATATTTAAATTAGCTTCAAAATAAAAAAAAATATTAATTAAAGCTTTCCCAAAACACCTATAACGGGTCTATAGAGGATAAAAGCGCCGAAAAATATTTGCAGAACATCTTTCAGATAATTTGAAGGTGCATTTACTTATATATCTTTGAGATGAGGATCTTCTGTTTATGCTGCCAAATCTTCAGACAGGAATTAAGTATATTTTTATTATCATCAATAAATTTGACTTTATGAAGTTCACGTAACCGCCCGAGACCGACACGGAAGGACGATACTCGAAATGCGCCAGCTGTTGAGTATTAGGAAACGTGCTTTTGTTCGCTGTTTTGCTGTGTAAAATACTGGGGTGCAGGGTATGCCAAAAAAGACTGGTCGAATGATATATCGGAAGGCAAGTACACGACATGTGCAGAAATAAGGAGATGACAGGTAATTTTTCTAAATAATCCCTTACACAACGCTTTACTGCAAAAAGAGATGCATAGAAATGCATAAAATGATATTCCTAATTAAACATAAATTGCGCGCAGGGCAAACGGAGATTCTTAGAATCCTAATATAAATCATTTTTGGGCATCAGCTTACCTCAGCTCGAAACGTCGCGAGATAGTGCCTCAGGAGGCTAATGTTACCGTAGGTTTTACGTGCACTTGTTTTGGGACCCAGTCATGTGCTCTAACATTTCACTAGGCTGCCGTATATCATCACGAGACTGCTATAAATTCTACACAACTTTACACCTTGGACGTCTACTGCTAGTGTTGCGAACGTCGCACTTCACCAGAAAGCTGAAGGGTTTAACATGGTTTGCATGTGAGTTATTAGCCCCAGTCACAGTCGGGACGTAACGCTCAGGGATAATGACGGAGTTGAAGTTCAAGGTGATTTGTGCTCTTTTGTATTGAATGATGAGTTTGCTAAATCCTTTTCACTACCTATTACCTCTGACCATCCGGTTCTCCCAGTTTGTGAGTATCTGCAAATGAATCCAGTCATTGTTGATTGCGAGGGTATTGCGAATATTATTGAAACACTAAAAATATCAACTTCAGCAGGCATCGATAATATTAATACAAAGTTTTTGAAAAATACTAAAATGTATTCAAGCATCATCTTATCAAAACTGTTTACCCAATCACTTGAACAACAGATACTACCTAGAGACTGGAAGGTGGGGAGGGTGATTCCTCTCCACAAAGGCGGTGATAAACATAATCCTTTGAATTTCCGTCCGATCTCCTTAACAAGCATCCCATGCAAAATACTTGAGCACGTAATATATTCCAATCTTATTAACTTTCTGGACTCGAACTCTTTTTTTCACCCAGCACAGCATGGTTTTCGAAAATTCTATTCATGTGAAACACAACTCCTAACTTTTACCCATGACCTTCACGTCGTTCTCGACCGGGGTTCCAGGACAGACTGCATATTCCTTGACTTCTCCAAAGCCTTCGATAAAGTACCCCATGTACTCCTTCTCCATAAACTTCGTAACTTAAACATAGATAACAACATACTCAATTGGATAGAATCGTTCTTAACAAATCGTTTTCAATTTGTTTGCGCCAACGGAACTAACTCATCATTATCAAGTGTTAACTCTGGTGTTCCTCAAGGTTCTGTGCTCGGTCCACTACTATTTCTTATTTATATTAACGATCTTCCTACGCGTGTTTCCTCTTCCATCAGCTTGTACGCTGACGACTGTGTCATTTATAAAGAAATTATTAACGATTCTGACATTTCTGTTCTTCAAACTGATATAAACAACGTCACACAATGGTGCTCAGAATGGCATATGGAACTCAACACATCTAAATGTAGATCTATGAGATTGTCCAGGCATAATAACACTTGTCCATCCTACAACATCTTTAACTCCCCCCTACTTTCTGTTACTTCCTATAAATATCTTGGTGTGCATCTAACCAATGACCTTTCCTGGAATTTACATGTCGAATATGTCACTAATAGCGCTAATCGCTTACTAGGTTACCTTAAAAGAAACCTTTCGCTTACTCCTGTTTCATTAAAGCTTCTAATCTATAAGACTTTAGTCCGTACTAAACTGGAATATGCAGCCTCTATCTGGGACCCCGGTATCACCCTTTCATCTGCTGTTGAGTCCATACAAAATCGTTCCGCTCGTTTCATCCTCTCGAACTATCA